CAGCCAAGAGTCCAAAAGTATGTAGATGGGGGAGGTGGTTGCAGGAGGCTCTATCCTTGGGCTTTTAAAATTTTTAATTAATTTGTTTTATTTCTGGCTGTGTCGTGTCTTCGTTGCCTTGCGAAGGCTTTCTCTAGTTGCGGTGTGCAGGCTTCTCATTGCAGTAACTTCTCTTATTGCAGAGCACAGGCTCTGGGTGCATGGGCCTCAGTAGTTGCAGCACTTAGACTCAGTAGTTGTGATGCGGGGACTAGTTGCTCCTCGACAGCTGAATCTTCTTGCATCAGGGATTGAACCCATGCCCTCTGCCTTGGCAGGCAGATTCTTATCTTCTGCACCACCAGGGAAGTCCCTTAGCCTTAAAACAGTGGTTGGAGTAATAATAGAGGAAGAGGTTTCTGATGTGAAGTGGGACCCTGGCCAATGGTCCACTCTTCAGTGAGAGGGCCCTGAATTAAGCCAGGTAACAAGTTGGGGCCTTGGGCAAGTGCACTGAGATTCAAGGCAATATTTTGCCCCCAGAAGGGAAGTGGAGTGAAAATCAGGAATTAGGACAGAAATCATTCTTATAGAGTGGGCCATCATGGCAATCCAGGAATTAGGTGACAGTTTGGTGATTCTTATTTTGGTAAATCAGATAATGAGCCACAGTGTTGTATATCTTCCCCTACTAGCTACCTCCACAGTCTTCCTTCAACCTCCTTTGTGGATGAGGGTGGAATTTGCATACTTGCTCTCGTCTTTTCCAGGTTGACTCAGAAACTGGATAGGACTAGGAGGTGTGCAGTTTCAGTACTGGTAATCTATTAGATTATAAGAGTCTCCTATGCCTAATTCATGGACAGAGGAGCCTGGTGGGCTACAGTCTATGGGGTTGCAAAGAGTTGGACTCGACTGAGTGATTAACACACACACACCTAATTCTGGGTTGTCCATGCTCCTCTCTTACCTTGCTTCATGCTACTCTTCAGGAAGCTCACTTCCCCTCTACCCGAGGCCTTAATGACTCACTTGGGTTCTAGCTGAATCTTTTTGTTTTTTAGTAGCCCTCACCTCCACTTGGATTTACCACTATCATCAGTTCAGACTCAACATGCTTTGTTGGTGCTATCGTTTTTCCTTTTTCCTAGACACAAAGCTTTGTCATCACCTTGAGCTTGATCTCCTCTTATTTTTTCACTCGACTCATCATGGAATTCTGTACTACTGAAACAGAAACTTTACTGATTCCTTCTCCCAATATTTTCCCTGTCAAATATACTACATAGTACTATCACAACTCCTGCTAATACAACTATTAAAAAATACATACATTACATATATATATATGCATATATACATGCATGAATACATGTGTATGTCATTAGTGGTGAGATTATTGTCTTTTATAGTCTTTATTTCCTCTGAGAGACGTTTATAGATGATTCAAAATACAATCATCTGTATTTCTAATCAGAACAGTGAAAAAAAGTACAGCTTGAGAGTGAACTGAATTAGAAGTAGTAACTTGACCTCAAGCTCCAAATCAATTGCTGTTTTGGTAATCATGAGTAGATCCCTTAATCACTTTGAATGCCAGTATCTTAATCCATAAAACAGGGATAACACCTATATATGAACATCATAGGGTTATTATAGTCACGAGTCACAGAACTTGGAATAGTCCTAAGGACCTCTATGCACATTTTGAAAAGAATTTAGCTGACAGTTTGTAAATTAAGTTTCCAGGCTACATCCTTTTAGATTAGTGAGCTAGATGATGCCAAAAAAAGGGGCCAGTGTGTTGCAGCACCCCTGAGACCATAAGTGCTATACAGAGGGTTATAGGTTTATTCTCAGCTAATGCAGACTAACATTGCTCCTGAGATAGGGATATGGATTCATCTGGACTCCAGCTGAAGGTAAGGCACTTAGGGGGCTAGAGGTCTCCTAGTTATATGTCAGTTTGATTCATCAGCAGATATGTAATCTGAGCCCCAATGCATTACATATTTTTCAAACAACTTACTGATGAAAGTCAGCTCTCATAACAGAGAAATAACTAGTTCAAGTGTTTGCTATGGGCCAGGGAGTGTGTTAAGTGATTCACATGCATTATCTCATTTAAATGCCAATAAAACCCATAGAAAGTTGATGCTATTATTACCCTCATTTTACAGATAGGGAAACTGGAACTCAGAGGAAAGAATTTATGCACCCAAGGTAATAGGGTTTATAAATGCTGAGCATTATTTAAACACAAGTAGAAGGACTTTTGAGACTGCTTTCTTTATCATACCATATCTCCAGTGTAGATTCACCTCCATGGATGAAACTTATTGATGAAACTCTTAACTTGGACTCTAAAAGTAGAAGTAATTAAAGGTTATCAATATCTTCTAGCAATCTATAATGGAAAAGAAACTGACAAAATATCCTGGCAGTCCAGTGGTTAGGACTTAGCGCTTTTGCTGCTGTGGCCTAGGTTCAATCCTTGGTTGATACCAAGTGCTCCCAAATAGGTGCTTGTTCATAAACCACTTGTCCAGTGCAATTCTTTGAAGCAGGCAGTGGTTAGACTGAATAAAGGCTTCCCTGGTGGCTAGCCATAAAGAATCCGCCCACAATGCAGGACAGGCAGCTTCTATCCCTGGGTGGGGAAGATCCCCTGGAGAAACAAATGCAACCCATCCCGGTATTCTTGCCTGGGAAGTCCCATGTACAGAGGAGCCTGGCAGGCTATAGTCAATGGGATCCAAAAGAGTCAGACAAAACTGAGCGACTGAGCATACACACACACAATTAGGCTCTAATGTTATTTTAAATATAAACATAAGGCATTTTATGCATAGTCTAATATACACTAAAATTTCTAGGAATGCCACTACCATAAACATCGTGGGATGACTATACCTTGTTTCATTCAAAAATTTGCTAAAAGTTATTTTGGAAAATCATAGAATCAGCAATTCTTTTTGTGATATCTGAATCACCATTGAACATCCCTGTATCATGCTGCATCTGTAACTGTTAAATTCAAGGTAATTCTATAGAGATGTATACATCTAAGTATCTCATTGTGTCTTCTTGTCGTCTCCACATAGTATTTTATAATAAATTACCTTCTTTCTGCAAGGAGATCCAACCAGTCCATCCTAAAGGAGATCAGTCCTGGGTGTTCATTGGAAGGACTGATATTGAAGCTGAAACTCCAATACTTTGGCCACCTCATGCGAAGAGTTGACTCATTGGAAAAGACCCTGATGCTGGGAGGGATTGGGGGCAGGAGGAGAAGGGGACGACAGAGGATGAGATGGCTGGATGGCATCACCGACTCAATGGACATGAGTTTGGGTAAACTCTGGGAGCTGGTGATGGACAGGGAGGCCTGGCATGCTGCGATTCATGGGGTCGCAAAGAGTCAAACACGACTGAGCGACTGAACTGAACTCAACTGAACTGACTCTTTTCTCTACTGTTCTTTTATATCTCTTTAGACATTTTATAAACTTTTGGACTGTGTATCTAGCTAAAATACACTATTTATAATTTGTAGTTCAGGATCAAACAGGGAATATAAAAATATTTCTTATAAAAACAGTGTTGGGACTAATGGGATAGGTGGTAAGAGAGGCAACTAAGGAAGTTAGGTGGGATCTGGGTGCCCTCGATTCTGAGATGAAGCTCAGTTGTCCCCTGAGAATCCAAGTGCCCTCCCAGGCTTGTATGCGTGCTCAGCTGTGTCTGACTCTTTCAAGACTATAAACTGTAGCCCACCAGGCTCCTCTGTCCATGGAATTTCCTAGGAAAGAATACTGGAGCGGGTTGCTACTTTCTCTTCCAAGGGAGATTCCCCACCTGGGAATTGAACCCCTCTCTCCTGCTTGGCAGGTGGACTCTTTACTACAGAGCAACCTGGGGTGCCCACTCCCCACCGTTAGGAAAAGTGAAAGTTAGTCACTCAGTTGTGTCCAACTCTTCGTGACCCCATGGATTATAGCTCAACGGGCTCCTCTGTCCATGGAATTCTTCAGGCAAGAATTCTGGAGTGGGTTGCCATTGCCGTCTCCAGCGGATCTTCCCAACCCAGGGATCAAACCCAGGTCACCCGCATTGCAGGCAGACTCTTTACTGACGGAACCACCGGGGAAGTTTACCCTTGGGAAAGGGATATTTTATTGGAGACAGATAATCATAATCTGTTTTACACGAGTAATCATGTTTCTCCTGCTAGAATCTGTTGGGCCCTGCTCTTTATGAAACAGCACTAGCATTACCATCGTAAAGGTCACTTGTCTCTTTCCTGAGCTGGTCCCACCTTTTGGGAAACAGTTTTGCATTAGCCATTCAGAATGGCTCCAAAAAATTCTTTGTAATCCAGGGACCTCTCCCAGATGGACACAGGCATGCTCTTAGTTCACTCAGCTTTGATCATCTGATATTTACATCCAGCTACAGGCCATTGCTTTAGACCTTCCCTTTCCTTTTACTTCTATTTTTACCAAGTAACTTGCACCTGAATTAACAGTCCCATTATATTTGATACCAGAACAAAATGTGGCCAGATCGGCAGAGAACATACCAAAATCTTTTCCAAGAAATGGTGTTGGAAGACATAACAAAAGAGGAAATTTCGCAAAAGAAGAGAATTTGGTAGCAGGGGAAACCTGAGGGACAGGAGAAGAGAGGGGGAGGAAAGGGGAAAGAAGGCGCGGCTTGAGAGTGGCACTAACCGCAGGCCCCAGAAAAAGCTGCGAAGAGCTCGGTCTATCCGCGGCGTTAGCCGCCGTTCTCTCCGCCCCGCGGGCCGCGCCTTGTCCCGCACAGTCTCCGCCCCTCTCCCCGCCCGGCTCCGCCTCCGGTTTCCACTCTTCCTACCAGCGGAACCCAGAGCCGGATCCTGTTCCTGCTGCTCGGAACCGAACGTCCCGCGTGGCAGCTAGCTGCTCCAGGCCCGGGTGTCTCCCTGGAGGATCGAGAACCTGCAGCGCTGGCCCCGGCCTGTGTCTCGGCGTGGGCTCGGCCGCCGGGGCCAGCGGGAAGGGCGTAGCTCGGCCAGGTAGTGACCTCCCCGGACGCGGCAGGGCGGGCCCCGACTGGGGCGCCTCGGCCGGGCTCCTCGGACAGCTCTGGGAGCCGAGGTGGAGTGTGAAAGAGGGAGCGAGAAGGCTGAAGGAACGGGAGGGCCCGGAGGTGGAAAGGACCCTGAAGGAGGGAGAAAGAGGCCAGATGAGAGTGGGTCCTCTTCCTTGTTCTGTGTGTTCCTTGGAAGGGAACCCGGGCTGTGTGTCAGCAGGGTGGAGTGTCACAAAGTCAGCTTAAAAGTGTGGTGGCTACTAACGTCCTTCCCAGGTGGCGCCAGTAGTAAAGAACCCGCTTGCCAATGTAGGGGATATAAGAGATGCCAGTTCCATCCCTGGGTTGGGACGATCCCTTGGAGGAGGGCATGGCAACCCACTCCAGTTTTCTTGCTTGAGAATCCCATGGACTAAGGAGCTTGGCGGGCTACAGTCCATAGGGTCGCAGAGAATCCGAAAGGACTGAAACAGCATGCAGCGTCTAAAGTATGATTCTCTTTATTCTTGTTTATGCCAAAGCCTTTGACAGTGTGGATCACAATAAACTGTGGAAAATTCTTCAAGAGATGAGAATACCAGACCACCTGACCTGCCTCTTGAGAAATCTGTATGTAGGTCAGGAAGCAACAGTTAGAACTGGATATGGAACAACAGACTGGTTCCAGATAGCAAAAGGAGTACGTCAAGGCTGTATATTGTCACCCTGCTTATTTAACTTATATGCAGAGTANTGTAAAGAACCAACTCGTTTGAAAAGACCCTGATGCTGGGAAAGATTGGAGGCAGGAGGAGAAGGGAACGACAGAGGATGAGATGGTTGGATGGCATCACTGACACAATGGATATGAGTTTGAGTAAGCTCCAGGAGTTGGTGATGGACAGGGAGGCCTGGCATGCTGTGATCCATAGAGTTGCAAAGAGTTAGACATGACTGAACGACTGAACTGAACTGAACTGAATCTCTCTTTGCGACCCCATGCTCTATAGCCTGCCAGACTCCTCTGTCCATGAGATTTCCTAGGCAAGAAAACTGGATTGGGTTGCCATTTCCTTCTCGAGGGGATCTTCCCAACCCTGGGATCAAACCTTTGTCTCCAGCATTGTCAGGTGAATTCCTTACTGCTGAGCCACCTGGGAACTCCCAAATTACAATCCAATGGCTTGATGAATTCTGCTTCACAATGATAGAAAGTACTGACATCAAACCATCAAAGAAGGCTCCTCTGTGTAAAACAAAAGAAAGAAGGAGGGGGTGGTGGATATGGGGGAAGGAGAAGTATAGACCTATACATGTACTTGTATATGCATAGAAAGTTTCCGAAACTCTTCATATAAAACTTAGCAGTGGTTGTCCCTGGAGAATGGAACTCGAGATGGGGATTTTTACTTTTCATTTGTACGTCAGTTGAATCTCCTTCACAAGCACCAGGGAGAGAAAAACATGTAACTGTAGTTTTTTCTGCCTTTATAATGGGACTTCTTTTTAAAATCTTGAGTCAATTCTGAGATTCCCCACTCCTTTTGCTGGGGGCTTATATAGCACAAAGACATGAGGGAAATGTACAAAGCATACAACAAAAAGCATTCTTTTTGTTGTTGTTGTTGTTAAATTTTTTTTTTTAGTTGAAGTATAGTTGATTTACAGTGTTGTGCCAATCTCTGCTTTACAAAGTGACTCAGTTATGTACATGTATACATTATTTTAAAATATTCTTTTTGATTATGGTTTTTCACAGGATATTGAATACAGTTCCCCATTCTATATATTAGGACCTTGTTTATCCATTTTAAATGTAATAGTTTGCATCTACCAACCCCAATAGCTTGTATGTACCAATCCCAGTCCATCCGTCTGCCTCCCTTCCTTCCCCTTGGCAACCACAAATCTGTTCTTTATGTCTATGAGTCAGTTTCTGTTTTGTAAATGGGTTCATTTGTGCCATATCTTAGATTCCATGTATTAGTGATATATGGTATTTGCCTTTCTCTTTCTGACTTACTTCACTTAGTATGATGATCTTTAGTTATATCCCTGTTGCTGCAAGTCAGGCCATCATTGTTTTTAACAATTAATTTTTGGCTGTGCTGGGTCTTCATTACTTTGTGGGGGTTTTCTCTATATATGGTAAGTGGGGACTTCTCATTGCAGTAGTTTCTCTTGTTGTGGAGCATGGGCTCTAGGGCTCACGGCCCTCAGTAGTTGTGGCATGTGGTCTTAGTTGTTGCAGCTCCTAGATTCTAGAGCACAGGCTCAATTGTTGTGGCTCACAGGCTTAGCTGCTCATGGCATATGGGATCTTCCCTGACCAGGGATTGAACCTGTGTTTCCTGCGTTGGCAGGCAGATTCTTTACCTCTGAGCCACCAGGGACATCCAGGCCATCATTCTTCATTCCATTTGCCCACACTGATAACCAGTGAGATATCCATTGTCCTTTCTGGTTCTGGATTGTCAGTCCATTCGAATCTTCTTGGAAGTATTCTACATATCGGTCCATAAAGTCTTACATGTTAAGGATTAAGTGACTGACTCAATCCTAACAACATACTTTTTCCTAAAAAATGTAAATAGGAGGTAAGCATTTGTCCAAATAAGAGAGTATATACATTCCTAATAATATTAATTCAAGCATTCTGTCAGATGGAAGTTCTTAATTTGCAGTTAATGGAGATTCTAGGAGATCCATGGTGGACTTCCAGAAAACTGGATGCAAAATAGTATATACTCATGTGAAAAAGCTCCATAGCTTTCACCAGATTTTCAAAAACTTCTGAATCCCATGGACTAGGCACTGTTCTGACAATGGTGAACGAGGCTGAAGGGTCTTTGTCCTCAGGAACTTATAGTCCAGGGGAATGAAAGACGAACAGACAATTACGGTACAAAGATGTGTTCTCTGCTTGAGGAAGTACAGTGTGGGAACAAAGAAGGACCACCTATACCAGGCTGAGGGCTGGGTTTCACCTGAGCCTCCTTGGAGGCACTGTTAAACTGAGCCCTTCAGAGTGAGAAGGAAGTAGAATTTGGCCTAGTAAAGAAGGGGCTGGGGAAGAGGGGTGGTCTTGGAAGAAGGATGAGTGTTCCAGGCCTTTGCCTGTGCAAAGATCCAGAGTCAGGAGATACCTTGGCAATTCATAAGCTGGAAAGAGTTTGTATGGTTCAAGCATAAAGTTGGATGGGAGTAGCAGGAAAAAATGAGACTGGGAGATTAGAAGCTAGGTTATGTGTGTGATGCTGGGCATACAGAGGTGAACAAGACAAAGGAGCCCTGACCCTCAGGGAGGGCTTTATTTTATTAAGGAGAAATGGTGAACAAGTAGGCAGATAGCCTAACAAGATAAATTTTTATCTTGATGAAATAAAGTAATGCAGTAAGTGGTGGCTGGGGTATGTATTGGGAGCTCCTTTAGGTAGAGCTCTGTACTGTGTTGCCGGGATCCAAATTGGCTACTCAGCACCCTGGGGGAAAATACAAGCACACCCTCGGCCGCTGGTTAGTAATGGGTCAGGACCCCTCTATTGTCCTGAAAGAAGGTTTTTCCATTTAACCAGAGGTTTTGTACTCTGCTACTCTGGACTCCAATGTTGGAGCATTGCAGTAACCCTAAATAAATCAGTGTTTAGATTGTTTATCACAAAAAGAGCATGTTGTAGAATCTGGTGAGGGGAACTATACTTAAATTCACCTTCCTGTAGTTTTAAAATTTGAGTTTTTAGGGTCTGATGTGCTCTTTCTATGATGGCTTGTCCCTGTGGGTTATAACGGATACCTATGCTATGTTTTATATGAAACCTTGTACAAAAGTCTTGAAAAGATTTAGAAGTGTAAGCAGGGACGTTGTCAGTTTTAAGACATTAGGATAGCACAAGTCTAACAGTGAGGGGTTATTTTTGGTAGAAACAGAATGAGCTTTTATATGTACCATAATCTTAAATAACACTTATTTACTTTACTAAAGTAACATAAGATTTTAAAAACAAATATAAATCACTTAAAGGCAAAGAAATTCATTATCTGTTATTGAAAGATTCACTCTAAGAAAACTTTGTTCTCTTAACATAGAGAGTAGACTAAATTCCAGTCTGTTACCAATCTACCAGATAGCAAACAAACAAAATTTTTCAGTTAATCTTAGAAAAGTCTTTTTATAAATCTTGAAGAACTAGCAGTATTTTTTTTTTAAAGCATGAGAGTGAAACCATTTTAAACAAGGCATGTTTAAAATCTAATTAAATTGTAATTGACAAAGTAGCCTGGTCATTGCTGTGACTTGTAACACTTTAACATGATAACTAAAATTATAACTGACAACATTTTACCAGGACATATCAGATTTTCATGAATTTTACATAATTTCTAGGATATCTATATAAGTAACATCAACTGCACAATATAACCTGAAAAGATTTATCACTCCTCCAACAATAATTCCCATGCAATTTAACATGTCAAATGAACTCAGGTAGTTTAATAGCTCTTTGGGATGTCTCAGGGGCCCTCTGAAGCATCCCAAAGTCAGCTAGAAGTCAAGCTATTTAGGCAGTTTTGTCAATAAATATCAAAAGGGTTTATAGTACTCTGTCAGGTAGAATCATATAGATCACTGTGAAATAATATATTTACTTAGCCAAAGTGAAAAAGAAGATTTTAAAGATAAACATAGAACAGATCACTTCAGAGGTAAAGAAACTTAAAATCCATTATCAAAGGCAGTTTAACATCTCAAGAAAACTTGTATTTATGCACAAAACTCTTTCCTTGGANAACCTGGAATTTATTGTTTAATTTAGAATTATTTGATTTGTAAGCGCTTACCCTTTTTTTAAGCCAATTAAATAGAGCTCATTTACAAATTAACCTAAAAAATATTTCCCAGAGATAAAGACATACCAAAACATATTTAGACAGACACAGTGCAAGATCTATCTTCATTTTCTAAGTTTGGTCATGAATTAGATATTACAATATAAAATTTAAATAAATAACATTTTTAAAGGCTTTTTTCCTTTTTCCCTCAGTCTCAGGATTTAGAGATGGTCTAGATAAGTGTTCCTGAGAGCCCTGGTCTCAAGGCACAGGGAAAGAAAATCAAGTTCTAACAAAAAGCAAATTGGCCATCAAAAATCACAACACAGAACACAGAGTTAAAACACACATGTATAAACCTGGCAGTCCTCATCAGACACTCCCTTAAATACAAGAATACAGTCTCTCAGAAAACCTTCTATAGAGACACAGAACTTCAGATGTCTTCAAAGATTTTAAGAGGAGGAAAGGAAAAGAAGAAGGAGGAGGAGGCGGGATAGGGGGGCAAAAGGGGTGGCCTTACAGACGTCTCCTGCCACCTGCAGATACCCAGGCGTTACGGGACTTTTCCCTGGGCTTCCAGAGAAGGGAGGACTGGAACTCAGCCCTACCGGAATTCGAGTTCTCTGCCAAGAGGAGGTGATCAGTCTCCAATCCTCAGCTCAAGCTGAGGCCCTTCGACAAGATTCCTGCGTCCAGAACCGGGGGATTAGAAAAACGGGAAGGATAGGAAGGGCTAAGGAGAGGACAGAGAGAGGGAAGGGGAGAGAAGTTAATAAAGTCTCTTTTCCTTACTAGTCGGGGCACTCTGGCCATTTGTCTGCATCAGGAGGAGACCAGGCACAAAAGGGTCCCAGTTGCGGCTGCTGGGTCTGGTCCATTGGGCAGGCAAGCTGGCCTCTGAGTACCCCGAGTGGTCAGGATGTCAGTCTCAGCGAAGAAGAGTCCCCACCAGTTGCAGGAAGGGGGACCCCTTCCAGGGCCTGTAACTGGGCTTTTATAAATGAACTGTCCAAGGAGACACATGTGCTGACAAAGCAAGAGATCTCATTGGAAAGGGCACCCGGGTGGAGGCCAGGAGGGTAAGGGAACTCAAGAGAACTGCTCTCTTCTGGAAAACAAGGACATTGCTCTTGGACAAACGTAGCAAAGGACTGAACACTGGCCTTTTTACCTTTAATTCCTCTGCGGTTAAGGAGTTGCATTATGATTCCAATAAAAAGCTGTCTTTCTTTTGACTCACTGGTACCCATTTTTGTTACTAATTAGAAGAAGAAAAAAAGGGAAAAAAAGGAAGAGGCTTAATTTTAGAGAAGAAAGAAAGAACCTGAAACGTACCCACCTTTCTTATGTAGGGGGGCCAGCAGCGCCCTAGGGGGGTTCTAAAACCTGAAGCCTACCCACTTTCCTTACCCTACCTGTCTTATGCAGGGGGGCCCGCGACGCCCTAGTGGGGTCCTAGCCGTCCCGAAAACTGGACAATGAGAGACTTACCCTCGGGTTCCCTGTTCGTGGTGCCACTTGCCAGGGTCCAGCCTCGGCAGGGTCCAGGGGGTACCCTCAGGATGAACGGCGTCAGCGAGAGAAGACACGTGAGACCAGCCTTGATAGGGCCAAGTCTGCGAGGGAGAGAGAGAGAGAGAGTGACCAGACAGGGGGTGCAGCCGAGTCTGGCAGGGTCTGGCAATGCTTTATTTTTTACTGTAGCTTTTATACCCTAAGTTAGTACATTTCTAAGGGGAAGATAGTTTAACATTACATCAGCTTGTTCTTCACGAAACCAGGGTGTTTTCTGCATATTTATGAGGGTCTTGTACATTATCTTCTGGCATTGGGGCCTATTAACATTTTATGCAAGTCAGGTGAATGTAAACCTATTTTCTGTTTCTATGATGACCTTAACTGAAAGGTAGCAGTCTCATAGGGCAACAGTACAGAGTAGAAGTATAACCTTGTTAACACAAAAATTAATCCTTCTGCAGAAGTTGTCAGTTGAATTTTACCCTATACAGACTCTGTGGCTTCAGTGAGGCAGCCTCTGCCTAGCACTCCTGGCTGACAATTAACAGCCATCTCATTGTTACCACACTAGGGCTAAGCTTTTATTTTTCTAGATCTGTAACTATATTAACAATGGTTTCCATAACACAACCTTAGCACATTAAGAGCAAAAACACAGCAAGCAAATGTTAACCCAATAGCTACTTTTAGAATAATTTTTCTTGTGTTTTCTAATAAGGCTTCCTCACTCCCTGAAGGGCTCTATGTCTCTTAGGGCCTTTATGTGATCAGGTTCTTTATGTTATTTTATGATTAGGGTATTATAAGCAATCATGCATATTAGTACCAAGGGCATAAACGCATTTGCCAAACAAACTAAAATACCAGCAAAGGAGTTTAAATTAAAACATTCCTTTCACCCTGGATAATCTCATAAAATACCACCACCCGGGAAACTTATTGATTAAAGTTCTAAATTTATTCTTATTTGGGAAGAGATTGGGGAAGGCCTTCTGCCTGTGTCACAGAAATTAGGGAGTAGTCTATTGAAGCAAGCATCAGAAAGACAGATGTTATCTTTAAGGTGAGCGCCGGGGGCAGTTTTCGGAATCCCTGAAAACCTGATCCACCTTACCTGTCAGGCTTTCTCCTCGTGACCTTTGTCATGGGTGGGGTCTAGTGTGTTGGCTCCCGGCACTGTGTGCCATGTGGTTTGGAGCATTTCAGCAAAGATGGTGACAGGCAGAACAGAGAATTAGATCTGGGAGATATTGAAGGAGTAGAATCAATAGGATTTGGCAGTTTATTGGATGATAATAATAATAAATAACAACAACTTGCATTTAAGCTCCAGGCACTACTCTTAAGTGCTTCATTTATTTTTTTTTACTTATTCCTGTACAACTATATGAGGTAGGCATTTATTTCAGTTTTGTTAATGAGGAAACTGTGGCACAGAGTTTAAGGAACCAGTCCAAGTTCTCATCAGGATTCAAACTCAAGCCTATTTTATTCAAACCCCTGCAAACAGAGGGGGCAATGAGGGGAAGTGGATTTGGGGAAGAGGTAGAAAAATGATCCTTTTGGGATCTATGGAGTATTGGATACCTTTGGGTCATCCAGGTGGTGATGTCCAACAAGGGAATGGATAAATGAGTATGAAGCTCAGCTGAGACCTGGGTCGTGGAATAAATATGTGAGTTGCCAATGTAGCAGTGTTATTTGGAGCAACAGAGTAGGTGAGACCATCTTGAGAAAGTAGTATATAGAAGGGTTAGAAAAGAATTCTAAGGAATATCAGTATTCAAGGAATTGCAGAGGAAGAACCCTCAAGAGGTGCGGTCAGGGTTTTAAGAGGAAAACCAGGATGGCACCATGGAAGCCAAAGGGAGAGTTTCAGTGAGAGAGTGATCACAGTGTCATAGTCTACTTGAGAGATAAGGTAAATAAGGGCCAAGGTATGTCTATTCTTGTGTTAACCAGAATTTCATTAGTTACCTAAGAGGATAGCCTTGGAGAACTAGTGGGGATAGAATTCTATTTAGTTGGTTAAAGAGTGAGTAAGAGGCAAGAAGTTGATGTGGTATTTTCTTTTTTTTTTCCTGCTTAAAATTGCTTTATTTTTTATTTATATATTTTATTGAAGTATAGTTGATGTATAATGTTTCAGGTGCTCAGCAAGGTGATTAGTTATACATATATACATATATTATTTTTCAGATTATTTTCCATTATAGGTTATTACAAGATATTAACTATATAGTGCCCTGTGCTATACAGTAAACCTTTGCTTCTTTGTATCTATTTTTTTTTAAAAATTAGAATCCTAGCACTGTATTCATACTGAGTCAAACAAGTAGAATCATAATGTCATAATTTTTTTAGCTAGGTAAAAAATTCATGTTCTCTTAAATATATATTTCACATACTCTCTCTATATATATGTATACAAAGGCTGTTCTACTATGCTTGATTAAAAACTTGAGTAAGAACACTAAAAAAAATAAAAAAATGAAGAGACAGAGAAATTGGAAAACATAAACTAAATGAAATGAGAGCACTGAATATGAAATAGAAAAAGAAAAACTAGATAAACCTAAAAGATCATCATATAGTCTGGTTTTTAAACATGGCTGCTCATTAAAAACACATCTGGAGTTTTGGAGAAAAAAAGCAATAGAGGTGGTGAGTATTGATACCTGATAAAGATGTTTGTTTTTCTTTCACCAAGAATCCAGTCCAGATGACCAGTTTGGCTCCTGTGCTAAGTTGGGATCATACCCATAGCTTTAGAGTTTTCCTTACCCCTTCATGTGAAGACATGTTCCTTTCCTCTCAAGCCCTTGCTTTTTCTTTTTTTTTTAAAGCATTCCTTACTCTTAAACTTCTGCATTATCTTTTCCCTACTCCTCCTCCTTAGAATACTCCCTGTATACTCTGGGTTGAATACTCCCTGAATACATCCTTGGAATGAACCAAGTCCTAGAAAAACAAATATTGGTCATTATCTGCCGTCAGGTCACTGGCATTACCAGGACAACTATGGGAAAGATTTAGTCCCAGTACACATGCATTCCCACTACAGCCAGCTGCTCATCATCTGTCTTTCTCTCCTTCTGGGTATATACAGGTTGGGCCCCAGTCATGGAGAAATTCCATGGGTGTGTGTCTACCCACATGGACGTCCTTTCCTTGAAGAACCGGTGCCTGGCCACACTTCCTGACCTGAAGATGTTGGAGAAACCACTTGGGCATGTGTCTCCTCACTCAGACATCCTCTCCTTGGAGAACCGGTGCCTGGCCACACTTCCTGACCTGAAGGCCTTGGAGAAACCACCTGGACATGTGTCTGCCCACTCAGACATCTTCTCCTTGGAGAACCGGTGCCTGGCCACACTTACCATTTTAAAGAGCCCTGTGTCCATCAGCCCCTTGCTCCCGAATCACCAGATATCTCACCTGGCGCAAGCTGATCTGTGCAACCTGGAGAGCAGCAACCACCTGCTGTCTGAGCCTCAAGCCTCGGGGGCTCAGTGCCTCTCTGAGGGACTAGGCCTTCTGACCTGCCCCAGGGTCTCGAAAACCATCTCTGCCCCAGAGAAAGTTCAGGAAGCAGTTCTGGTAATCGCTCCAGGCAGTTGTCTTCACTGCAGCCATCTGTGTTAGATGCTCTAGTCATTAGCTTTCAGTGCCACAGTGTCTCTCTGTTCTGTGTCTGTGAGCCCTCTCTCCTCACACTCTCTTCCTGAGGTGCCTTTTACCCAAAGGCCGTCTTCATCAGCATCATTACTCTTACTGCATATATAGTTCAGAGATACTGGACAATAGAGCAAAAATAGATTTTGTTCTTGGAAAGCCTCTGCTTGGGAGGAGAGTTGGCATGATATTGCAATAGCAGAGTCAGTCAGGTGCTTTTGAGATCTTACAAGGCGTGAGATACAGCTATAGTACCCTGGACCACTTCACTGTGTGTGCATGTGCAAACACATGTCCACTTATACATCTGTATAAGCACGTTTGGTATACAGGTCAGGATCGATAGACAGACACACATTCCTTCTATGGAGACTTGAGATTTGGACTGAGGGGAAGGTGAATCTGAGCCTTCCCCCATCTCTGCCTGTTATTACAAGCCACTCAACTTTGGGCAAGACTCTTAGCCCTTTGAAGCTTTCATTTCTTCACCTTTGAGATGAAGTCAGTGAAAGTCCACCTCATAAGGGTCATTGTCAGGATTATAGCTACTGCCACCTTATATTTATTTAGGGCTTTGCAATTTGCAAAGATTCATATATACATCCCATTTAATCTTCTAACAGCCCCATCAGGTAGGTGGCAGAGGATGAGGAAACTGAGGCTCAGAGAGTAAGATCACGGTTGCTGGGGGATTAATCTGGGACTTGGTCTTTTTTTCTTATAACTCCATAATACCTTAATAGCAATTAGAAGATGTGTTGTGAGGGGCCCCAGGCTTCTAGGCTATGACATCAATAAGAAGATGAAAACAGATCATGAATCATCTGAGCAAACACTCAGAATGTTGATTTGGGAAAGGGTGTGTGTGTGTGTGTGTGTGTGCCACTGTGTCTCACTCCATCAGATAGGACAGATCCATGCTGGGGTGTGAAGGCAGAGAGTTTAGGTGCTAGAAGGTAGATGTGGATCTCCCTAGCCCTGGGTGTTGCTTTCAGCTATCTGTCTGTTTGAGGGGCTGTGGGTGTGTGCTGGGATTAATAACTGCCACTATCCCCAGGGTCAATGGTCATCTTCAGGAGAGAAAAAGCCAGAAGAGAAGGAATGGGCAGAGGTTCAGATGCCTTTTTATAGCCTAAGCTTGGGAGAGGAGGAGCAGGAGGAGGAGCTGGCCCTGAAGCTCTCCCCTGGGGGCTCTGAATCTCAACCTGAGCCTGCTGAACAGGACTTTCAGGAAGTGAAGGTAAAAGTTGCGGAGCTGGGAGAGGTTGGTGGTGGTGGAGGGGAGGGCATGGGGAAGCTGAGACCAATGGTCGCCAAAGGCTGATCCAGATCCCCTCCATGGAAAGAAGGGGCAGGAGCTCTGGTGTTTCACTTGCTAATCCTCTTTTCAGACCTCTTAGCCAGACAAACTTCAGCCAGATCTTCCTGAATCTGGGTTCTTTCTCTCTGTCTTTGATTTTGTAAGTTGGCCTGAGTGGATGCTCAAGTTGGTCCTTCTGACCCCTTTCCTCCCTCTCTTCCCTCTCTTTCTCAAATCCCAGATGGTTCTCATGAGCTTTCTGTGTTCCTCGCTGGTGGCAAATGTAAACACAGATGATGCAGCGTACTCTACCCAGGCTTTCCTCCTCAAAGTCTGTGGCGAAGTTGCCCACTTTGAGCCTGAATTTATCCTCAAGGTATTGTGACGTGAAGGAAGGGATGGGAGTGGGAAGCTAGGAGGAAGGGAATTTGGTTATGGTGTATGAGAGGGATGGTGGGCAGCTTTGTATTAGGGGCAGGAGGAGCGTTACTTAGGAAGACAGTAGGATCTCGGGGTGAGCCTGAGGCCCAGTCCCTAGGGTTCTCTGAGGAGTAGGGGAAGAGAGGATTGAGAGAGTATACTAGGGTTTGTTTATTTAGTAAGTACACAGGCTAAATACACAGTGTCTTGAGAGCTATACCAAAAGATAATGAAACTTATATCTGGCTCTTAGGGCATGTGTGGTATTGTTAGGGAAGCAAAAGCAATTCCAGATATTATGTAAATACAAATGGAGTAGTAGATAGCAAATGTCTCAGAAGCAGAGAAGAGGGGGAAAATATTTCCTATGAGACTTTGGAAGATGGAAGGATAAATCAGCAGTTTGAAAAGTGAGAGGTCTTCCAAAGAGGGGAAGTGAAAGTGAAAGTATTAGTCACTCAGTCATGTCCAATCTTTGCGATCCCATGGACTGTAGCCCTCCAGGCTCCTCTGCCCATGGAATTCTCCGGGCAAGAATACTGGAGTGGGTTGCCATTCCCTGCTCCAGGGGGTCTTCCCGACCCAGGGATCAAACCTGGGTCTCCTGCATTGCAGGCAGTTTCTTTACCGTCTCGACCACCAGAGAAGCCCTCCAAAGAGGGAAAGGGGTAAAGGCTCTTAAGTCGGGGTATGTAGACTTAGGAGAAGACTGGTGAATAAGGGCTGGATTATGGAGCATGTAGAATGCCAAGCCAAGAAGCTTGGACTTTATAGGCAATATGGAGGGCTCAGGAAAGGTTTTATGCAGGCAGGTTAGATAAGGAAGTTAGTTTATGGCACGATGCTATGAAGAGGTGGCTGAGAGGCCAGTGCTACCTACTCTGTTCCCTAGGCATCTCTGTACGCCAGGCAGCAGCTGAATGTCCGGGATGTGGCCAACAAAGTCTTGGCCATTGCTGCCTTCCTGCCACTCTGCCGCCCCTACCTGCGACGGTACTTCTGTGCCATCGTCCAGTTGCCTTCCGATTGGATCCAGGTGGCCAGGTTCTACCAGGTATGGCGTTCAGTTTCCTGAGCTTGGATTTCCACTTGGTTCCCTTTCCTTTGCTCACTGCATCCCTGGAGAAAACTCTCAGACACTTTGACCTGCCGTCTCAAGCCTGGTGCCCAGACAGGACAGTTTCTTGCGGTACCAGGCTGGGTTGCCCAACAGGGAGGGCGTGATTGAGAAGGGCTGGACAGAGTTTGAGAAACATTGGTGTTACTCTGGACCTTGTGTTTACAGTGAAGAGAAGGAGACTCTGAGAAGTCTGCCGACAGGTCCAGGACCACAGAAATTGTTGTTGTCGAGCTGAGGCTGGGGACTTTCTATCCGTGCTGTCACTGAACCCCATGAAGTGGTCTCACCCCTGATGGTTTTTCATCTCTCTGACAGCTCCTGTGTCGAGAACGGGAGGACTGTCTCGCGCCCCTGCCTGCCTGCCTGCGTGCTGCGATGAGGGACAAGTTTTCCCAGTTTGATGAGTACCAGCTGGCTAAGTACAACCCTCGGAAGCACCGAGCCAAGCGGCGCCCCCGACGACCACCCCGCCCTCCAGTCAGTCCCTGCCTCAACCCTGGTCATTCACAGCCTGCCCCCTTTTTCCCATAAAGTTGGCAGGGGTGGGGGGAGGGAACACACTGATTCCACCCCCCGCCGCCTGCCACCTCCTTTAATCAGCTGACATGCTTCTACCACCAGGAACAGAGGGAGGCCGAGAAGTGCAGAGGAGCTGAGTGGAGCTCAGGCAGCAGAGAGCAGAGCCCGCCTCTTTCCCAGCCGTGTACTTTATGATAGAGATGGGCTATTGGAATGAGTCTCTCTAGGGACAACCATCCCTTCCCTTTTTGAAACGGTTTCTTCTGTCTTTACAGAAGGAACATACATTTTCTGAGACACAGACCTATTTGCCAAGGTTCGCTTGGCCTATTCGAGATGAACAGAGGATGGTGAGTGCCTTTTTCTGGGGTTCTACATGTACACGTACCATCTTTTCTCAACTAATATTTAGAAATGGAATTCCATTTGGTCTAGAAATACTAGTAGTGGGTGTAGTAGGCACATGCCAGTGTCCTTGGAATCCTCAGCTGTGATTTTAGGGCTTTGAGAACACTGGGAAATGCTCCTTTTGTTTCCATTTTGCTCTCCTTGACATCATTCTTTACCGACAGATGTCATGTCCAGCTGGATAAATGAGTTAAAAACATTATGAAATCTCCACCTTCCATAGGAATTAAAAAAAAATTAGCCAAATAAAAAATTTTTATTTTCTTTTTTACTTTAATAACAAATTAGGCACTAGTCTTAGTGGTTAGGGCTTCCCAGGTGGCGCTAGTAGTAAAAAACCACCTGCCAATGCAGGAGACATAAGAGATGCAGGTTCAGTCCTGGGGTTGGGAAGATCTCCTGGAGGAGGGCATGGCAGCCCACTCCAGTACTTTTGCCTGGAGTACCCCATGGACAGAGGAGCCTGGTGGGCTACGGTCGCCATAGGGTCACGAGGGGTTGGACACGACTGAAGTGACTTAGCATGTGCACACACACACACTTAGTGGTTAAGAGCATAGAATCTGTATCCAGACCACCTAGTTTTGAATCCCACCCCATCCCCACTCCATACCTGCTGGCTATGCAAGCTTGGTCAAATGACTTACCTTCTTTTGCCTCATTTTCCTCACGTATAAAATGGATCGGATAATAGCAGGACCTACTTCTTTGGGTTTTTTGTGAGGACTAACTAAATCAGTTACTGTACTTAAAGGATTTCTAACAATACCTCAATCTGAACGATGATATCATCATCATTAAAATAAGATTATTTGGAAACTATATTAGTATTACAAGAAAACACATCCTCAGTTGGTCGACTGGTCTTTTCATCCTATTAATATATCCCAAACTTAACTCTTCTACCATGGAAGATTCTGAAAGCCAGCTTCTTTCATTTTTTAACTTCTCACAGCTTCCATTGTGCTCCAGTTGCATCATCCAGGTCTCAGACATTGTTCCCCAACCAGGGATTGAACCCATGCCTCCTGCAGTGGCACGGAGTCTTAACCACTGGACCACTAGGGAAGCCCATCAATGATTTAAAGAAGAGCTGCTTTCCCTCTCTCTCCCTCTAAGAACCAGCTATTCTCTGTTTTTTCAATCCTCATCTTGCTTTTTACAAGCCATTCATCCATTGTTAACCGTTGATAGTCCAACCTTGTGTAGATGAAACACACGACCCCACACACCTGCTCAGAAGCTCGTGCCACTGAAGAGTTTTACTCTTTAGTCCTATTCTTTGCCAAATCTAGGTATTGGGTGGTCTTGTTTTTTTTTTTTTTTTCTGAAGAAAATGACCATGGTCTTAGATTGAATGACCCCTGTGGGACTTGGGAATATTTCCACAGTTTGAGACAACCTACAGTTCAGTGTCAGAGAAAAAGAGCGAGCAAAGGTTCACCCTGAAGAAGTTGGTACAGAGACTGCACATCCGTGAGCCTGCACAGCTCGTCCAGGCCCTGCTGGGCTGCAGGTGAGAAAACACACACTCCATCTGGATAACCCCCTGACTCTTCAACACCCACAGCCCCAGTCCTTAGAGTTTGAGCAGACCTGGCCTTAACTGGGACTTCCTGGCTTTGACTGACTCACTGTTCCTTTCCGAGTTATTTTCAGATGCCTTTGAAATGATGTTTTCCCTTGTCTGTTCCAGATACCCCTCCAACCTACAGGCCTTTTCTCGAAGCCACCTCCCAGGGCCCTGGGATTCTAGCAGAGCCGGGAAGCGAATGAAGCTCGCTCGACCAGAGACCTGGGAGCGGGAGCTGAGCTTACGGGGAAACAAGGCCACCGTCTGGGAGGAACTCATCGGTAGAGTAGCCTTGACTATCACATTCCCTTCCTGTCTTCCTCACTCATGCCTCTACATTTTGGCCCCTGAAATAGAAGTTTCCATGGCATGATGCAGTTATTTTCACTTGGAATTTCCATCACTGGAAATGACTGGATTTAACAGGTCTGCCATTGACCACACCGAAGTGGCCAGTGGCCTCTGCTTTGAATAGCACTGACATCATAGGTAGGTCATAATTTCAGATGTGATTGGGTGATATATTAGGTGATATAATACAAGCCTTTATCAATACATGACAAAAGCATTACCTTCTCTCTGATATTACTATGTCAATACCTGTGTCACTCATCCAAACAAAGTAGGACTGGGACGTGGCACATTGAAATCTCCACCAAAGCCCATTTTTAGGACACGGATGTTCTAGGTAATTTGCCCACATGGATAAAAAGAATTCAGGTGGAGACGACCAAGTTACTCTCAATCTGTTTTTTTGCTAGTTTTATTTTTAACTATAGAAGGCCCTTTCTAATCCATGTTTTCTTTTATTTCCTCCTTCATCTTTGGAAGTTTAAAATCAGCTTCTTTCTGTTAAAAAATATCTGATTGTAGACTTTTTGACTGCTCGAGAGGTTTTTTGGCTTGTTTTTATTTATTTGACTGTGTCAGGTATTAGTTACGGTATACGGGATCTTCCTTGCACCTGAAGAATCTTTCATTGTGTTGCACCGACTCTCTAGTTGTATGCAGGCTTGGTAGCTCCACAGCATGTGAGATCTTAGTTCCCTGACCAGGGATTGAACCTGAGTCCCCTGCATTGCAAGCTGGACTCTTATCCACTGGACCAGTAGAAAGGACCACCAGAAAGTCCTGGCTGTTTGAGTTTTATGGACTTCATATTTTGGAGCTTCAAAAACCCAAGCTGGCTCTTCTTTTTCTGTGAGCTGTCATCTATAGGTTGTACTCAGGGCAGACCAAATAGCTCAGCTGCTTATCGTTCCTCTCACTTTGTGATTGTCACTGGTGGTGTATATATCAGAATCACATGAGAATTAAAACATAAAAAGACATACACACACACACACATACACACATGCTTGACAATATTTTCCCCAACATTTGATACAACTTTGGGTAGAGTGGGATAAAGAGACCTGGATGGCAGCTAGCATGTGTTGGTGATTCTAGTAATCTCCACTTCCTCCCTCTTTCCCTGAAAATTAAAACTGTGCCATTTATCTTGGTTGAGACAAATGCCCATAATCTAATCCACTGGTCTCCAGCCCACTGGATCATATATTGCAGAAATAATTTTTAGGATACACCAGAATATATGTACATGTATTTTTAAAAATTTTATACATGTACTAATAAATTGTATACTTTAGGAACTACATAATTTATAATTATATAAATATAGATATGAAGATAAATGTAAGAAATAAAGTATAAAATATAAGATAAAATATAATTAGATATACAGATCCCTCTTTGGCCCTCAGAGGCTCATTAGTAACTCATTAACGAATTTTTTAGAATGAAATCAGTGAACTACTTCATCTATAGAATGAGTATTCATTTTACTTTCTAGTGTATCAATATGATATTGAATTTAATTTCTTATCAAATTGATCTAGTATATCTTTCATACATAGCAACATTTGAGCAAAACTTATGTGTTGACAAAGGATGCAATAGTTCATGACTCATCACGTATCATTTATACTGTGTATACAACTTAATTGTTTTACACAATCTAACTCAGAAGAAGACTTATGACTGATGAACCCCAGGACTTCCAGAAGGCTGAAAGTTTTCTAGCTATAATTCAAATGAGACTTAGATAACCTTTAAAAAGGTACCACCACTTTCCTAATGAAAGCTGTTGATGGTAGGGCTAGTGACTGGGATGTGGGTTGGGCCTCATAGGCCAGGGCTGTAATGTGGTCTGAGTGTGTTTTGGGGGGGTCCCCAGAAAAAATATCACACCTCCTATTTATGTCTACCTTTATCTAAAGAGTGTTTCCAATATTTACTATACAGATTGAACCCCTGTAATCACTTAGTCCATGTTACATGGTTGATAGTACTCCATGTATATAATTTATAAGATTACACTTTGAAATTTCTCTTTTAGCCATTTAAAAAGTTTGGAAATCATTACTGTAGAGAATGTATTTTGCCAGTTGAGCCCAGTCTCAGGACTGGAGCCAACAAAGTGATGACCTAAGTTGTTTGTTGAAATAGCTAATTCCATAAATGTACAGATTTTGCTCCAAGATCCAGCAACCCAATTTTTATCTTTCCAGGCCTTTAAAACTTTTTGTGTACAATAGATCACGTATTAGTACCTCATTTCCTCTAACGTGAATATTCTACCTGGCCTCTGATCATCTTGCTCTGGTCTCTGACCTCTCTTATTCATCCTCTGTTTGCTTTTGTCACCCTATGGCTCACCTTCGGCAGACAGTGGGAAACTTCCCTTCATGGCCATGCTTCGGAACCTGCGCAATCTGCTGCGGGTTGGAATCAGCGCCCGTCACCATGAGCTTGTGCTCCAGAGACTCCAGCATGCTGTACGTGTGAGGGGCGGGGAGCCAGGCTCCTCTGAGTGGCTAGGGAAGGTCATAGCCACTCTGCTGTTTGAGAACTTCCCTTTTTATTTTCTGAGATCATTTCTGTGATTTAACTCACTTTGGAGGGAGTCTGATATAAGAGAAACAGGGAATCTTCTGTTACTTCCTCTCTTTTCTTTCCTCACAGTCTCTCAGGACATCTATTCTTTTCTACCTTTGTCTAATATCTATTTTATCTTTTCCCACCTTCTTACAGATCTAATAGAGGGGTTATCTCATCTTCCTGGCCCCTGAAGCCTCTGATGCTCCCCATCCCTCTTGGTCCTCTGCTCATGACCCTTCTCTTGCTTTGCAGAAGACAGTGATTCACAGTCGGCAGTTTCCATTCAGATTCCTTAATGCTCATGATTCCATCAATGACCTTGAGGCTCAACTTGAAAAGAAAGGTAATATCTCTCTTCTCCCAACTCCTGTTTGTCTCTCATGTCTGAGAACAGATGAGCTAGCAGCACTGGTATTTTCAGCCTCTTATTTTCCACTCTCAGTGTATGGGGTGGGCAGAGGTCAGACACTGGCCGGCCCCAAGGGTCAGGACTCAAGACAGCATTGATGGGAAGATAAGAGGAGGGAATAGAAGCTGCCTAACTCAGATACTTACCTGTTGCCACCCAGAGTTGCCATTTCCTTCCAACACACAACTGATAAAGCGGATAATAATTAAAAACACAAAATATGGCAAGAAGCATGCCTATTCCTGGAAGTTTCGCCAGCCAAGCCGTCGGGAGCTTCGAACAGCGATGATGATCCCTGTGATCTATGAGCAGCTCAAGCGGAAGAAGCTGGAAATACACAGGGCCAGGTGTGTGCGTGAGCATGTGCTATCTGGGAGCAAAGGGTGGGCATCAGAGGCACCCTAAAAGTGCTTGGAAGTCATCTGGAAACCCCAGCTTTTATTCTGTGAAAACATGCTTGTCAGTCATCCCAGTGGCTGTGATTTGACTGTTTCCAATCGTCTTTGGCACAGAAAACCTTGTCTTTAACTTTGTCCTGTAGAGAGATCGTGAAACAAAATCAGTGTTTGGCCTCCACTCTATTATCTGTGGTTGCCTTATTGGTTTCTGTGAACTCTGTCAGCCTATGTAGCATTTCCCTTCCTCTTTGTACGTGATAATGCCTCTCTACCTATGCTCTGGTCCATCCTTTTCTTTTTCTTCTCTGTCTTATCTGTTTCTTTTTCTTTTTGTTTCTTTCCTTTGTGTATTTTCTGACCCATTCACTTTCCTTTCTCTTTTGATACATATAAAGATTGTTATCCTCAAGCAGACTCAAAGATAGGTATAAAATCGGTTCTGTAAGCTTGATGTATTCCCAGTATTTTGTCCTTTTAGATACGTCTTCATTCATTTTCATTCAAGACGAATGCTGGACTCATCTAACCTTCTAATAAGACTCAGTGGCCAGGACTCGCCTGAATCAGTGGATCAGTGGCTGAACACAGGGCCATTAAATAATTAAGCTGAGGGTGCAGTTCTAACAGTATGTCTTTGCTGGTCAGTTTGGTAGCGACCAGCCACCTGTGGCTCTTGAGCACTTGAAACGTGACTAGTGGGAACTGAGATGTGCTGGATTTTGAGGGCAGTGTGAAGAAGGGTACAAAATATCTCTTTTTTAATTTTTGTATTAACATGTTTAAGTGAAAAGTACATATATACATATATATGTACATATATACATTAGACTAAATTAAATGTGATATTAATCTTCCCTGTTTCTTTTTACTTTTTAAAATGTGGGTACTAGAAAACCTTACATGTATAATTTCAATTTCATTTCATTAATTGTAATTTATTTCTACTGGATAGACAATGGTAGAGACTGCTGGCTTCTCTAGATTAAAAAAAATGATGAAAAAATTTAAACATGTACACAAGTAATGAAAATAACATAATGGACTCCCATTCAGTGAAAAATCAAGATTTTACCAGCCTTTGTTTCATGATCCCTCTCTTCTTTTTTTTTGAAGATGTTTTTAAAAACAAATGCCAAATAATATGATATATTTTCTATCATTTCCCATATTTACTAGCTGGAGCTCTGAAAAGAACCACCCTCATGAACTAAAGCTATTTAGTTACTTTGAAATAGAGGTTGTCTTGGAAAGGTGGGATGAATGTCTCTTTTTCCTTTAATTACCATTTTTCAGAGTAAGAAGCTAGTGTTTGTTCTTCAAATTGCAATTTAAAAATAAGCAGCAGTTGGAAATTCCCTGGTACTCTGACTACTGGGGCCGGTTTTATCCCTGGTTAGGCAACTCATATATCCAAAACTGCCCTGCACAGCCCCCACCCCTCAAAAAAGGTGCGGTTAAATCTTGCCTCATGAAGCAAATATGGATTGATGTGGTAAGCATGGCAAGCAGTGTCCAAGAGTGGGTCTACTCCATGGGATGGATTAGCAGAGTCCTGTAGAGTGGGGCTGAGAGAAGTTCTGTCCCCGTTTCTTCTATTGACACTGGAGATGGGCTGTGGACAAGTGGAGACTTCACTTGAGTGGCAAGTTCTCACCTTCCCGTCTGCCTCCAAGTGGCAAACAGAGAAGCCCCTGACCCCTCCGTCTGTTTCTTTCCTGCCTGCAGACAGTGGAAATGTGACCGAGAGATGCTGGCTCGGTATCGACAGGCCCTGGAGACAGCTGTGAACCTCTCTGTCAAACACAGCCTGCCCCCGCTGCCAGGCCGCACCCTGCTGGTCTATCTGACAGATGCCAGTGCAGACAGAATCCTTCCCAAGAGCAACCCACAAGGGGTAAGACACTCCTGCTTGGCAGGTGGATTCTTTACCCCGAGTCACCTGCGAAGCCCTTCTATTTTTATGGGGGAGTATTCATTTATTTGTGGTGGTATTATAGTATTCATTTATTCCCTGGTGGCTCAGAGGTTAAAGCATCTGCCTGGAATGTGGGAGACCCCAGTTCTATCCCTGAGTTGGGAAGATCCCCTGTTTACTTATGTGGCTGTGCCAGGCCTTAGTTGTGGCATGCAGGCTCTTTAGTTGCGGTATGTGGGATCTAATTCCCTGACCAGGGATCAAACCCGGATCCCCTGAATTGGGAGCGTGGAGTCCGCCACTGGACCACCAGAGAAGTTCTTGAAACTATCTCAGTTGGGGGACTTTGTCCACTTTTCCCTAACCAGTGGAGACATTTGGCCTCCAAATTTGCGTGGGCAAAGTGGATTCTAAAATAAGGGAGCCTATTTCACCCTGATGCTTGTCCAATCAGCCCCCTCTGAACTATGTGCTGCTGTTGATTGCGATGATGATGGTACGGACGGAGCAGGTGGAGCTTTTGCTGTGTGGAGGGGGCATTGTGAAGACTGCTGTGATTAAGGCAGAAGAAGGCATCCTGAAAACTGCCACCGAACTCCAAGCTCAAGTCCAGGTCAGACACTCACCTCCACCTTGCAAAACTGCATAACCAGGCAGAGGCCTGGGAACAGCTAACTTCAGGAAAGGCTCGGATTGACTCAGTTCTGATTAGCAGACTACAGTACTTGTTGTTTACTGACCATCTCCCGTGCAACTTCATGACATGAGTTTCTTCCTTCAGAAGTCAGATGAAAACTGTGAACAGTCCCTGACTACTTTGGGGAAGCACTTGCTGTCTCTGGCTACCCAAAGGGTCCCTGTGAGTACTGCCCCTTCCCTGAGAAACCCTCCCTTCCTCCACATTTTCCTCCACACGGATGTATCTCATTTTTCAAAGCTTCTTTGCAACCTATGCACAATACACTGCTGACTGCAACCCCCTACTCAGTGGTATGCTGGTAAATATTTTTTTTATGCTGGTAGATATTTGCCTCCAATAGCAATCTAGAAAAAATCAATCTTGGTTAATAGCTTTTGCTAATTTCCATGGTGTAAATACTCCTTCCATGACTGATTTCAAACTACCAACATTTTTCATTGACCACAGAGTTAGAAAGAGTTGCTCAGTAGCACACCTTTATTTAGTAATTCTATAATATATATAGCATGGATGTAAATAAGATCAAGAGTATTTAATGATAAAATGTGGTAAAATAATTAGGAAGTGATGATGTTTTAGTATTTATTACCTTGTTTTTAATTCAATTTATTTGATTGTGAGCTTATACAATTTAATATTTAATGGTGGCTATATTTAACAGCTGGCTCACAGAATTCCTATAAGTTTGACAATCAGCTCTTGTGAGCCTAAATGTGCCAGCTACACACTACCCTTATCCCAAACTCCACTTTATTTTTGTTAAAAATTTAATATAATTTTTAAAGGTTACAATCCAAGTACAGTTGTTATAAAATATTGACTATAGTCGCCATGTTGTACAATACATCCTTGAGCCTTTCTTATACCCAGTACTTTCTATCTCCCACCCCCCACCCCCATATTGCCCACCACCGGTAACCACTAGTTTGTTCTTCATATGTGTGAGTTTGCTTCTTTTTTGTTTTATTCTCAAATTTGTTGTATTTTTCAGATTTCACACATAAGTGATACCATATAGTATTTGTCTTTGTTCTGTCTGACTTATTTCATTTAGCACAATGCCCTCTAAGTCTACCCATGTTGCTGCAAATGGCCAATTTTCCTTCTTTTTTTATGGCTGAGTAGTATTCCTCTGTGTGTGTGTGTGTGTGTGTGTGTCTGTGTGTGTGTGTATCACATCTTCTTTATCCATTCATCTGTTGATGGGCACTTAGGTTGCTTTCATATCTTGGCAACCCCTAACTCCACTTTGATGCTCTTCAAGTCAGGGTGAAATGACTTTTCCCACCCTAAGTACTCTCCAGAAAGGCCATTTACACCCACCTCAGAGTTCTCCTAGTTCCTCTGCCCTCAGAGATCTTGTCTGTTGATATCCTGAGCTCTTTGGCACCTCCCTGGTCTCAGCCCTTCCCCTTTCATCTTACAGGTGGACAGGGTCATTGTCTTCGGCCGAACTACAAATGAGAAACTGATAAATGCAGCCAAACAGCTTTTCTGGCAACATGTGAATCCCAAGTGCCTCTTTGTTGGTGTTCTCCTAAGGGCAAGTTACCTGTAAGGGTGCTCGTGTTCCTTGCTCAGTGCCAGCAGATAGTGATCCATATTTCCTGTCTGTCCCTACTAAAGCTTGGGATACTCCCACTCGCCAGGTGCCTCCCCATTTCTGCCTCTTAACTCTGTTGCACTTCTAGTGCTAGAACCTTCTCTGAAGTCTTCAGCCTGGCTCTGTACCCCTTTGTGATGGTCCACGCCAGTTCTAGCCTGGCACAGAACCCTATTAAAGGTGCAGAGGTGGGGGTGGTGGTCCATCCTAGGGTGTTAGGGGGCAGTGACTCTGTGTTCTCGGCACTGTTTCTGACTGCTAGTGACTTCTTTCTTTGCCAGAAGTACTGATTTGAATCCCAATGATGTGACACTCTCAGGCTGTACTGATGGGATACTGAAGTAAGTATAGCATGGACATTGGAGAGGTTGGGGGCTTTGTTAGAACATCTTTTAGAGATTATCTGTAGCTTCAGCTCTAACCACTTCTATTTTTAAGCAAGGTAAAAGATTATTCTGCTTTTACAGCTGTCTAGGCATGGCAGCAACATAATATTACAGGTACCTGGTCATCTTCTGTCTGTTGCTCTACCATTTTCAAATACTCTTCTTCTATTTCATAGTTCAAGATGGCTGCTACAGTTCCAGCCATCATTTTTGTATTAATCTAGTAGGAAGTGAGAAAAGGTAATATAGGAGATTGTACTGTTTGCTTTTAAGGGTACCACTCAGGAGTTGGTCCCATCATTTCCATTCATTCTCTGAGGCCTCTGTTCCATTCCATTTCAGAGGAGATGCCATGTTATCTTTATTTATTTATGCCTGATCTACAGAAATCTTTGTTCTTTGTTTTTCTCTGCACTATGAGGCTTCCCATTTATTTGTTTTCTCCTCTGCCAATTCCTTTGGATGCCACCCATTGCCCCCTGTTAGGAAGCCTCATGCTCCTCGCTCCCCAGGGAGCTTTCATGGCTGGTACAGAGCTAATCAAGCCCAGAGCTGATCAGCTTTAATCTTTACACCTTCATTCAGCCCAGTTGCCTCTGGTCCACCAGAAAGCCTGTGTTAACCATGCACACAGAAGGGACTATATCTGGGTTTCTTCTCTGTTCCCTTTTTCCTCTGGTTCTGCTTCCTTCCTTATTTTAAATCTATGTTTACTTTTTATGGTAATCTTCCTAAGAAACTCCATTTAACTGGTTGACCTAATTTAGCTATATCTTTGTCCCTTGCCCCCTTGGAAGACCTTCCTGATTCCCTCTCACTCTGCTATTTTGTTCTCATTTATTTTGTCACTCTTTATTTCAGGTTCATTGCAGAGCGTGGGGCCTCCCGGCTTCTAGAACATGTAGGCCAAATGGACAAAATATTCAAGATTCCACCACCCCCAGGGAAGACAGGGGTCCAGTCTCTCCAGCCATTGGAAGAGAATACTCCAAGCCCCTTGGCCCCTGTTTCCCAGCTTGGGTCAGTCTGTTTTTTATGCCTTTGTGAACTGGGAGGGGCTTTAGTCGAAACCTAGAGAAACTCAAGTGACAAATTCTGTCTGTTGAGATGCTTCTTGTTCTTTTTGCTGAGGAACATTTCCTCTTCCCAGGCTGGGGTTTGTCTAACACAGGTAGTGAGCATGCCCCTTACTGTACTAGGGAACGGGGGTTAGAAGGTGAGGTGGGCAGCAGGCACCAGGGTTCAGACAGAGGGCTTAGAGGTCTGGGCCATGGCTTTCTCATCCTAGCTTTGCCAGATAGTAGCTGAAGTTTGGGCTAGTTGCTTGATGTCTTAAGCTGTAGTATTTTTCATTTATTTCTTTTTGGTTGCACTGGGTTTTTTCCTTGCTGGGTATGGGCTTTCTCTCGTTGCAGCTAGTGCTTCCATTCTCTAGTGGCTGTATGCAGGCTTCTCATTGTGGTGGCTTCTCTTGTTGTGGAGCATGGACTTGAGGCCCACATGCTTTAGTAGTTGTGGTGTGTGGGCTCTGTAGCTGCAGCTTATGGGCTTTGGAACATGGGCTCAGTAGTTGCGGCATACAAGCTTAGTTGCCCCATGACATGTGGAATCATCCCAGACCAGAGATTGAACCTGTGTCCCCTGCAGGCAGATTTTTAACCACTAGGGCACCAGGGAAGTTTAAGCTGTAGTTTCTTGATGAGCAAAATGGAGAGAATGATTGTGTTTACCTCTCAGTGCAACTTGGGCCCATTTCATGGGCAGGATAGTAGATGCATAATAATCATTGCTGACACAGGAGGGGTACATGAGGAATAGCCAGTGGGATTTAATTTCCAGGCTCTGCATTTAAGGTTACAAGTCTGTTATTTTCTGGAGGCCGGTTGGATAACCCCTGCCATCTGTTGTACTTGGCTCAGCAGGGTGAGGGGTGGTCATAGCCCTGTTTGTGGGCTGTGAGGCTGACCCCTGGTTTACTGGCAGATGGCGAAGCATCCGGCTTTTCATTTCCTCCACTTTCCGGGACATGCATGGGGAGCGGGACCTGCTGCTGAGGTCCCTGCTGCCGGCACTGCAGGCCAGAGCGGCCCCCTACCGGATCAGCCTTCATGCCATCGACCTGCGCTGGGGCATCACAGAGGAGGAGACCCGTCGGAACAGGTGTGGCAGCCGCTGAGAAGAGGGGCTGGGTTGGAGATGAGGGGCTTGAGTGGCGGCAGGGCTGGGGCTGCAAGGATGGCTGAGGGCTGCGGGCCAGAGGTGCTCTTTGGCTGCTATGGGATGTGAGCCGGGCCCCCTCTCCCTGACACAGTGCTTCCATAACCTTCCTGCAGGCAGCTGGAAGTGTGCCTCGGGGAGGTGGAGAACTCACAGCTGTTTGTGGGAATCCTGGGCTCCCGCTATGGCTATGTTCCCCCCAACTACAGCCTTCCTGACCATCCTCACTTCCGCTGGGTAAGACAGACATGGTTGGGGTATGGGTGGGAGAAGCCACGGTGTGTCTCGAACCCCGGGACTCTGCACAGGCAGATCCTTGAGACTTGAAGTGAAACACAGGCAGAAGGTTCTATGAGTGACCAAGTCCTAGATGAGGGGATTCCTTTGGGAAATACCTCTGGGTTGGCCACAGGATGTGAGAGGTAGGCAGTAGGTCTGATTAGGCTTTGCCATCCGACAGAGCTGGGTTCTGATCTCTCTTCTGTCATTGTGAGGCTTAATGGAAAATGGCTTATACTAATCTAGCCTCAACTTCTTCCTATATTAAAGAGAAACAGTGATGTCTACATTGAAAGGTTATTATGAGAATCAGAAACCAAGAATGCTCAAAAAATGTTCAACCTGTGAGAGGCCTTCAATAAACGTTAGCTATTAGCTCTATTTTCTACTGGCTAGTGTCTGGAGAGAGAGGGGAACATTACTGAGGTGAAGGACCCCGGGGTTATGGCAGGTCTCACGGGAGGGGATAGTGTGACCAGGACGGAACCCACCTGCTGCTCCCTGCAGGCCCAGCAGTACCCTGCAGGTCGCTCTGTGACAGAGATGGAGGTGATGCAGTTCCTGAATCGGGGCCTCCGCCTGCAGCCTTCTGCCCAGCCTCTCCTCTACTTCCGGGATTCAAGCTTTCTCAGGTACCGCCACAGAAGACCAGATAGGCTCAGTGGGCGTGTCTTTTCTCCCTAACGTTCAGGGTACAAGAGGGGGGCCTCGGATGGAGAAGCAGGAATCAGAGAGCTTGCCTTGCAGCTGAAGGCAGATCTCCACTGGAGCAGTTTCTTGAGGAGTTTCAGGGAACCGCAGCCAGGTCTGGTGGCTGGGGGTGGAGAGATGCTTTGGTCTGAATCCAGTCCCACTCTTGGGGTGTCTTGGTGGTCAGCTCTGTGCCAGATGCCTGGAAATCGGACTTTATTTCTGAGTCTGAAGAGGCTGCCCATCGGATCTCAGAACTGAAGAGCTACCTGAGCAGACAGGAAGGGATCACCTGCCGCAGGTGAGCTGGGAGAGGTAGGGAGCGCCTGCCTGGAGAGGTGCAAGGAGGGGTGGGCCAGGCCTGCTCTGATCCCGCTTGTGCTCGCTGTGCCCACAGATACCGCTGTGAGTGGGGCGGTGTGGCGGCTGGCCGGCCCTATGTCGGGGGGCTGGAGGAGTTTGGGCAACTGGTTCTGCAGGATGTGTGGAGTATGATCCAGAAGCTTTACCTCCAGGTCAGCAGATGGGATGGTGGCCAGGGGAGTGGAGGGGGGAGGGTAGGGTGGTCCTGGGTGGGAAGTGACTTGGTGGGGGTGCTCTAAGTTTTAGGCCTGGGGTCCTGAGGAGCGTGGAAACATAGACAGTCACTGCCCCATGTGCCCTCAGCCCGGGGCCCAGCCGGAGCAGCCAGTGCCTGATGACGACTTGGTCCAGGCCAACTTTCAGCAGCTAAAGAAGCCGCCGAGTCCTGCCCGACCACGCCTTCTTCAGGACACAGCGCGGCAGCTCATGCAGCGCCAGGGGAGGCTGAACCTGGTGACCGGGCAGTCGGGACAGGGCAAGACCGCCTTCCTGGTACGGGGTCCCAGAGGCCTGGGCAGGAGGGAGGGAGGGCTGTGTGTGCTCAGGAGGGCTAAGGAGGCGGGGCACAGGAAGCTGGTGTGTGTGAAATGTGACCGTGTTTTCTGTTCTCTTCCCCCTCAGGCATCCCTCGTGTCAGCCCTGCAGGTTCTGGATGGGGCCGCGGTGGCCCCCTTAGTCTTCTTCCACTTTGCAGGGGCCCGCCCTGACCACAGTCTTGCCCTCACCCTGATCAGACGCCTCTGTGCCTATCTGCATAGCCGACTGGAGGAGCCAAGTGCCCTGCCCAGCACCTACCGGTGTGTTTCTCCCCGGCCTAGACCGGCCTGTTGATAGCCCCTGACACCGCCCGGCTGACGCTGGTCCTCCCCCTCTGTACACAGGGGCCTGGTGTGGGAGCTGCAGCAGAGGCTACTGCCCAAGTCTGCTCAGTCCCTGAAAACTGGCCGGCCTCTGGTGCTGATCGTCGATGGGGCCGACAGGTTGGTGGACCAGCGTGGGCAGCTAATCTCAGACTGGATCCCAAAGACCCTTCCCCGGGTGAGTGTGAGAAGGAGGCGAGGTGGGATGAGGCAGGGGGAGGGGCTTCTCCAACAATATTCTCCCCACTTTCCTTCTTCATCGCTGCCCTTTTGCCCAAATCCCACAGTGGGTGCACCTGGTGCTGAGCGTGTCCAGTGATTCTGGCCTGGGGGAGACCCTTCAGCAGAGTCACGGTGCCCACGTGGTGGTCCTGGGGCCTCTGGAGCCGCCTGCCCGTGCCCGGCTGGTGCGAGAAGAACTGGCCCTGTACGGGAAGCGGCTGGAGGAGTCACCGTTTAACAACCAGGTTGGGTCTAGGCCGGCGCTGGTAGATGTGAGGGGTGACTCTGGGAGCTGGGAGGATCTGAGTGCTGAAGCTACCAGCGGCCCCGCACAGACCAGCTCCTTCATTTTCTCAGGAAGTCTGTGCAGGGGAAGAGGGCTGTGATTGCTGATAATATTACCTGGTCCCTTTCCCTTGGTGAATGGCTGTGGTTATCTATCTGGGTGGGCTGAACCAGCAGGTGCGGCGGGGAGAGTGGGCTGAGCTGGGCAGAGCAGTGCAGGGCAGAGATAGCTGTGTCCTGGGTGACACCGTGGGTCTCTCCCCTGTGGGGGCTCTCAGAGGAGAAGCTGCCCCGCACGGGGCTTGGGGGGGTGCGGCCGGCTCTCTGGTCCCGTGCTGAGTCCTCAGTCTCATCAGATGCGGCTGCTGCTGGTGAAGCGGGGCTCAGTTCAGCCGCTGTACTTGCGCTTGGTCACCGATCACCTGAGGCTCTTCACGCTCTACGAGCAGGTCGGTTGAGGATGTGAACGCTCCCTCCTCATCTTCTGTGTCCTAACCCCATTTCCCATTCTCCATTCAAGCTCTTCATCCCCATCCCTCACCCCTTCCCAGCCTCCTCCTTTGCCAGTCCTCATCCGTGCCCCCAGCCTGCTTCCCTCCCACCAGTGTTTCCTTTTATCCCTTCCCACGCTTTTCCCTGCTGCCCTGTCTCCTACCCACAACCTGCTGCCTCTCCCCTTCCCTGCACCGACGGAGGCCCCTCGCGCTCCTCCCCCAGGTTTCCGAGAGGCTCCGGACGCTGCCGGCCACTGTCCCTCTGCTGCTGCAGCACGTCCTGGGTACCCTGGAGCGGGAGCATGGCCCCGACGTCCTTCCCCAAGCCTTGGCCACTCTTGAGGCCACACGCAGTGGTCAGCGCTTGGAGTGGGCTCAGGGGTTGGATGACCTTGGTTCTGTTGGGATCTCAGCAAGCCATGCAGGGAGTGATTAGGGATTAGGTTGGGATGGGTATGCTGCCCGGTTTAGGGCCTCAGCGAGCTTGGGTTTTCAGGTCTGACCGTGGACCAGTTGCATGGAGTGTTGAGTGCCTGGCGGATCCTTCCCAGGGGAAGCAAGACCTGGGAAGAAGCAGTGGCTGCTTGTAACAGCGGGGACCCCTACCCCATGGGCCCATTTGCCTACCTCGTCCAGAGTCTGCGCAGGTACAAGTGCCCCCACTGAGCTCCCACTGACCTGTGCCTCCCCATCTTTGAGGCAGGGCCCCATGTGACCCTCTCTCTTCATCCTCTTCCTCGCTTGGTATAGCCCCTGACACTGGTCTCCAGATCCTGGATGGCCGTCACTCAAGTTACCACTGTTTGAGGTGGGACTGGGAGCCCACCTTTGTGCTAGGCTGCTCACTGACAGGCCTTCTCCCTCTTCTCTTGCCTTCTCTCCCTCACACGGGGTCAGTTTGCTAGGGGAGGGACCCCTGGAGCGCCCCGGCGCCCGGCTCTGCCTCCAGGATGGGCCCCTGAGAATAGCCGCCAGGTGTCGTTACGGGAAGAGGCCGGAGCTGGAGAAGACGGCACACCTCCTCACTGCAGGTGACTGCAGCCCGGTTAACCCCTGGGGCACTGAGCGTGGGGCCTGGCGCTCCCCATCGGCTGGCCTCCTCACCTTCCGCCCCAGTGAGGGGATGGTTCTCGCTGTAGCCTGAGGGATGTGATCTTTGGAGATGCTTCAGGGCCGAGCTCATCTCAGTGTCTCTTCCTGTGACCCACACCTGCAGCTCAGCTCTGGAAGACGTGTGACCCTGATGCCTCAGGTACCTTCCGAAGGTGCCCTCCAGAAGCCCTGGCAGACCTGCCTTACCACCTGGTTAGTCCCTAGATCCCATCGGCACCTTCTCCCAAGGAGCTGTTTTGGCCGTTCTGAGCCCCCTCTTCCCCCAACTGCCACCATTGTCCCCATGGCTGTTACCCGCCTTCCACACACTCTGTACGTTTCTTCTTTCAGTTTTCCAGCCCTCCTCCTTCAGATCCTCTGTCCCAGCTCCTAAGTCTTAAGTGTCAGCTGCACAGGCAGGGTCCAAGACTAGACTATCCCTCCTCACCAGCCTTGTCACATCCCTAATGAATCCTGTCTGACTTTCCAGCTCCAGAGTGGGAACCATGGCCTTCTTGCCAAGTTCCTTACCAGTCTTCACGTGGTGGCCGCACACGTGGAACTGGGTCTGACCTCTCAGCTCCTGGAGGCCCACGCCCTCTACGGTGAGATGAGTTATGGGGTGGAGTCTTCTCCAAGCTGTGGGGTCCTGGGTGTGTTCGTGGGGTCCTGCTTAGAGGGAGGTGTAATGGAAGGAGCAGTTGATTTCTATTCCAAGGTGAAAAATGCCACGAGGGTAAGCAAGTGATTCTTAGGAGACCTTTTACTCAGCTCTCTTAAGTTTTAGCGGGCGTAAAATTACTTGGGAAACTTGTTCAAATTGCTGATGCATGGGTCCTCAGATTTGGCTTCCTAGGTCTATAGTGGGACTGAAAGCTTTGTACTTTTTTTTAAAAAATAATTTTATTTATTTATTTATTTTTGACCGTGCTGAGTCTTCATTGCTGTGTGGGCTTTCTCTAGTTGCAGTGAGTGGGGGCTACTCTCTAGTTGCTGTGCATGGGCTTCTCACTGCGGTGGCTTCTTTTGTTGCAGAGCACAGGCTCTAGGGCACGTAGGCTTCAGTAGTTGTGGCTCCTAGGCTCTAAAGTACAGGCTCAATAGTTGGGGCACACAGGCTTAGTTGCTCTGCGTCATGTGGGATCTTCCCAGATCAGGGATCAAACCCGTGTCTCCTGCATTGGCAGGTGGATTCTTTACTACTGAGCCACCAGGGAAGCCCAGCTTTGTAGTTTTAACAGATGTACCTGATCTGGGACCAGAGGGCCACACTTCGAGACTTAGCATTTTGGACTCATCATATGATTGACTTGGTGCCGGGGTTCATGGGGGTCAAAGCTGTCTCCGCAGTGATACTCTGCATCTCTTCTCTAGCTTCTTCAGTCCCTGATGGAGAACAGAAGCTTCCTGAGGCTGATGTTGCTGCATTTCACACCTTCCTGAGGCAGCAGGCTCCCATCCTCAGCCGGTACCCCCTGCTCCTGCACCAGCAGGTAGCCAACCAGCCTCTGGACTCGCCTCTTTGCCGCCAGGCCCCCCGGCTCTGCCAGCGACAGCACCTCCAGCGCGTGCTGCGTTGGCTTAATAAACCTGAGACCCTGGGGCACCAGCAAAGGTAAAACCCTTGACCCCAGATGCTGACAGGCCCTGCCAGAGAGTGAGCTGCAGCTCGCTCTCTGAAACTGAAGAATAAAGAACAGACTGGAGTCACCAGTGAGAGGGGACTTCAGGCACAGAAATGCACATCCTTCCCCTGATCCCTCATTTCCACCTTTTCTTGCTATTTTTTCTGTAGCTCCAGCCTGTCCCTGGCAGTTTCCTCCTCCCCCACAGCTGTGGCCTTCTCCCCTAACGGGCAAAGAGCAGCCGTGGGCACTGCCAATGGGACGGTTTACCTTTTGGACCTGAGAACCTGGCAGGTATGACACTCAAGGAGCGGCAGAGTTTATCTTCAGAATACCTCCCAGCCTGCCCTGAAGCCCAAGACAAGCCAAATCTACCTGTTATCACCCTGTTAGATTCAGCAACTTTACTTTCACATCAGATCCCAAGGGCTTGGTCAAAAAATCAATCCTACAGCAAATGCTTACTCTGTACTTTCCTTTGACGGCAGTGTACTAAGCACTGCAAGAAACACAGGACTTAGGACCTTGTCTGAAGTGTGTCTTTGCCTACCAGGTTGTCAGTTTTGTTGAAATTTAAGGCACAGAAGGTTAAAAAGGGAACCAGAACGTGGCCATGTGACATAGATAAGAACTAAGTGAACTGTGCAGGTACTAGTGGACATAGGATGAGAAGGGCAGGTGTTCCTGGTTGAGTGTGGAGCCTAGGTACAAACATCGGGGGGAACATTTCCTTAAGCTGCTGGCAATGATTGTAGTGGTGTGTAGGTAAGGGAGGGTCCTAGGAGATGAGGCTGGAGAGGTGGGCCCCCCCAGCCACAGTCACTCTCTCCTCTTCCACCCATGTCAGCCCCCCTCCCCCATATATATGTGTGTGTATAATGTCATTCCCAACTCAGACCAATCAGAGTCTTCTGTGACTTGGGGATGCTTATGGGGTTTGAAATGGGGGAGACGATGTGAGCTCACTTGGATCATGAGGTCCCACTTGAACCTGTTCGAGCTTGGCCTGGGTCTGGAGAGGGGCCCAGAGCTTTGCACATTTCACAAGTATCCCTGCTGTGGGGCCAGAGGGCCGTAATTTGAGACTCAGCAGGGACTGTAGAGAGCCAAGGGCTTCAGCCTTTCTGGCCATCGCCTCATTCCTGGTTGGGGCTTGGGGGAGCTGGACATGGGGTGGTCAAGGGAGTGCCGTGAGTGACTTCTCCGCCTGCTGTCACAGGAGGAGAGGTCGATGGTGAGTGGCGGTGATGGGGTTTCCTCTTGTTCATTCCTCTCGGACAACACCCTCTTCCTAACTGCCTTTGATGGGCTCCTGGAGCTCTGGGACCTGCAGCACGGTTGTCGGTAAGGGGCCCCCATGCTCGGTGTGAGGGCCCTCCCTGTTTGTTGGAAGCCCACGGGGAGGGGAATGAGAAGGGAGGCTGTGGCCAGGGGACCCTGACCTTATCTCCCTGGGGTAGGGTGCTCCAGATCCAAGCTCACCAGTACCAGGTCACCGGCTGCTGCCTGAGCCCAGACCGCCGGCTGCTGGCCACCGTGTGCCTGGGCGGAGGCCTGAAGGTAACATCCAGGGGCCTGTGGTGGTGGAAAGGGTCCTAAACGTGGCGTCAGCCCCATGAGGTGGCTCTCTCAGTGGGGCAGAGGCTCCTTGGCCTGCTGAGGGCTGGGGAGTGGACGAGGTGGCCCCAGGAGCTCTGGGACCCAGCAGCTCAGGCGTCTATTCAGCAGCCCGTGTCCTCTTCCACTTCTCCCTCCTCCAGCTGTGGGACACAGTCCGAGGGCAGCTGGCCTCCCAGCACACCTGTCCCAAGCCCTTGAACTGCATTGCTTTCCACCCAGAAGGACAGGTGGTAGCCGTTGGCAGCTGGGCTGGCAGTTTCAGCTTTTTCCACATGGATGGGCTCAGAGTCACCAAGGTGAAAGGAGCTGGGTGGCCCTGTGGCGGGAAGCACGGGAGAGTGGAGTGGAAGGTGGGGAATGGCAGACACCTGCATCCTGGCTCACTCTGGGTTTGCAATGAGAGCAGGCCGTGCCGTTCCAGTCTCCACCTCTTCATGTAGGAACTGGGGGCCCCGGGAGCCTCTGTCCGTACCTTGGCCTTCGGTGTCTCCGGGCGGGTTGTGGCTGTGGGCCGTCTGGACAGGATGGTGGAGCTGTGGGCCTGGCAGGAGGGGGCACGGCTGGCTGCCTTCCCTGCCCACCAAGGCTTCGTTGCTGCCGCCCTCTTCCTGCGAGCTGGGTGCCAGTTACTGACGGCCGGAGAGGACGGCAAGGTCAGGTTACCGAGAGCTGGTGGAGGGCTATGAGGCGGGGGTGGCAAAGGTGTGGAAATATTTGTGTGAGGCTGGGGCCTTTGTCGAGGAGTCTAGAGGGGCTTGGCTGGAGAGCTACAGGAGAGAGCTGTGGCTGTGTGCACAGAAGCTCTCCAGACGAATTTCTGGAGGGAGGACTTATAGGGGCAGAGAAGAGGGTGGGTTATCTTTAAGCCCCTTTCTCGGCCCACAGGTTCAGGTGTGGTCCGGGTCTCTGGGTCGGCCCCGTGGGTGCCTTGGTTCCCCCCACCTCTCCCCTGCCCTCTCCGTGGCTCTCAGCCCAGATGGCGATCAGGTGGCTGTTGGGTACCGAGCAGATGGCATTCGGATCTACAGAATTTCTTCAGGTACCGAAAGGAGGAGGGCTGGAGTCTTTGAGCCTGGAAAGAACCCCCTCACCTCTGTCCCTGCCCTCCTCTGGCCCCCTGTGCAAGCGGCTTACTCTCTTGTCTCTTATGTGCTAGCTTCCCAGGGGGCGCAGGGTCAAGCGCTCGATGTGGCAGTGTCCGCTCTGACCTGGCTCAGCTCTAAGGTGTTGGTGAGTGGTGCTGAAGACGGGGCCCTGCAGGGCTGGCTGCTCCAGGGGGGCTCCCTTCAGTCCCTCTGGCTCTTGTCCAGACACTGGAAGCCTGTGCTGGGACTGGCCACCTCCCAGGAACTCCTGGCTGTTGCCTCAGGTACAGTGGGCAGGGTTGTAAGTCACTGTTCCTTTTAAATATATGAACACATTTCTTCAATTCATATGTATATGTGTGTGTGAAAATACACCTGTATAACTTTTTGTTTCTTTACAACTTTCAAAGTGCTTTTATTTACTGTTTTTAAACTTTATTTTTAATATGGTAAAAATCACATAACACATACCATTTCAACCATATTTGACTGTATTCAGAGTGTTTTAAAATGCATTTATCTTGCATAATCAGTCTAGACTGTTTTCTTCTTGTTCCCTAACGCCGACTCTGGGATGCCTTTGTCATCCCTATAACCCTGTGAGTTTCTGGCCTGTGGGGATTTTGCTGTGTGAAGGGACGGGTTTCCCATAGGAGGAGAGAGGAAGATGTTGAGGTGAAAATGCAGGATGGCCTTAGTCCTTTATAGGTAGGAGGCTTGGTCAGACTGACACTGGGCACTTTAGCAGAGGTGGGTGTGGAGGTGCAGTTAGAGAGAGAGAACTGCAGGGCCGGAGCTGGGTGTCCTGATGTTCCTGTCCTGTGACCTCGCCTGGGACAGACCCATGTCCCAGCCCTCAGTGTGACTCATGGAGTCCCTCCCTTGGAGCTGTGCCTTTAGATATCATCCTCAGCCCCCAGGATTGCCTTTGTCTTTGGCCTTCCAGGCCTGTCTCACTTCCTCTTTTCAGGAAATCTTCCTCTCTCCTCTCCCCATTTCCAATGCAGAGGACTTCACAGTGCGCCTATGGCCAAGGCAGTTGCTGATGCTGCCACAAAAGACAGAAGACTTTCCTCGTAGCACTGAGCTCCGGGGACACGAGGGCCCTGTAAGCTGCTGCAGCTTCAGCACTGATGGATGCAGGCTGGCCACCGGGGGCAGGGATCGGGTGAGTCTCAGGAGGATGCACCCCTGGGCCCTCCTCCCCATGGATCTCCAGCCCCTTGGGGGCCCACAGCCCCTCTGGTCCTGGATTCCCTAGCAGCTCACTTCCCACTGCTTCCTCTGGCTTTTTGCTTCCTAAATCTCGTGGTCTGGATCTGCCCACCCGCCCTCGTTTGTTATTCCCTCTTCCCTTGAAACTTCTTACCTGAGATGGCCCTGCTATTCCTGCCTCTGTCCTACTACCCTGACGACCCCCCTCTCTTGGTACCTATATCCAGAGCCTGCTCTGCTGGGATGTGAGAACACCCAAAGCCCCTGTTCTGATTTGCTCCTTCTCTGCCTGTCACCGAGACTGGGTCACTGGCTGTGCCTGGACCAGAGACAGCCTCTTGGTGAGTGAAGGGGTTGGGATGGTACAGGCCTCAGCAGGGTTCCTGGGAGAGGGAGGTCAACACTCTCTACCGCATCCTATTCCTAACACTCATTTATAATAATATAGTATTAATATAGTTTTCTAATACCCAATATAATAGAGCACTTATTGAGCACTTAGTATGTGCCAGACATTTGACTAAGCCCTTAGCATGTATTGCCTCATATAGTCTTTACACTGTAAAGAAGTTACTGCTATTCTTTCTATTTCATAGACAAGGATATTGAGCTCAGATAGATTAAAGGCCATTTCCAAGGTCATGTAAATGAAGAAGCTGAGCCGGTAAACTTTATGATAAGAAAGCCCATGCTCTTAACAGGAACACAGAGCTTTCTCTCTAAGGGCTTATGATGCCCTGTTCCTGCAGGAGACGTGTATTTCTATGATTTCTTTGGTCTTAAGTGAAAAATCAGTCTCCAGTTATGCACTCAGGGTTGGTAAAGCCTCGTTTCCCAACGTAGAATCACTGTTGTTCTCAAAGAGAAATGAGTAACAATTGCATAGATTTGTCATAGTCTGTCTTGCCTTCTAGGCATAGATCTCTCCTGGGTGTTGCAGACTTCTCATGTTTGTCAGGGTGAGACAGAGTTGTTGACTGACATTATGTTAATAACAAGGACAGTAGCTACTATTTATTCAGTGCTTACTATGTACCAGGCAGTGTATTAAGTCCTATATATAGATGCTTCAGCCCCATATCAGTAGGTACCCTGTCCTTATCCTGGTTGAATAGATGAGAAATCTGAGGCCCAGAGAGGTGAACTGATACCAAGTAATGAATGGTGGAACTAGGATTAGATTTCGGGACGACCATTGCTCTTAATCACAAGGCTTACTGCCCTGCATCCTATGTTATAATCACAGAGAGATGCTGGAGGGGTGCTGGTTAAGTCTACTTCTCTACCCTCTGGCTCTGCAGGTCTCCTGCTCCAGCGATGGTTCTGTGGCCCTGTGGGACCCAGAGTCGAGACAGCAGCTTGGTCACTTCCTGGGTCATCAGCATGCTGTGAGCGCCGTGGTGGCCGTGGTGAGAAGGCGGTGGAGAGCTCACTGGGGGTCCCTGGGAAGGTTAAGGGGACTTTGGGAGGCTGGATGCACTGGGTCTCTAATCCTAAGGTCAGAAGAAGTACCAAGAGTGAGATGCTTGGGCCTGAATTAGAGCAGGGTTAGGGTGTTGAGGCTGAGGCTTGGTGTGAGGGGAGGGAGAGCATGAAGACACAGTATCCCAGTGTCATGACCTTGTGGCGGGATGGCAGCCCTGAGCCCCCTGGTCCCACTGCCGGGGTGTCCTCTTTCTTTGACAACAGCTTCTAGGCCCTTAATGCTCAGCCCACCCCTCTGTGATGGGAACTGTAATTCCTACGTCCTGCTCAGCGTGACTCTTCTCTGATCCTGTTTCCTGGGGCAGGAGGAGCACGTGGTATCCGTGGGCCGAGATGGGACCTTGAGAGTATGGGACCATCAGGGCGTGGAGATGACCAGCATCCCCGCTCACTCAGGACCCATCAGCCACTGTGTGGCTGCTCTTGAGCCCCATGCAGGTAACGGGGTATCAGCCACTTTCGGGTCCCCACTGCCTCTTCCCTCCTCCCCTTCTTCTGACTCAGCCTCTGCGTCTTACCAGCCGGTCAGCCGGGGTCAGAGCTTCTGGTGGTGACTGTTGGATTGGATGGGGCCACACGGTTGTGGCATCCACTCTTGGTGAGTTCCCTGAAAGGACCGGGCTAGGGGCCGTGGGAGGGGGTAGTGGGACAGCCTCCTGTTGTGTCAGCTCTTCACTCTTCTGTCTCCATCCTTCCCTTCCAGGTGTTTCAAACACACACTCTCCTGGGTCACAGTGGCCCAGTCAGCGCAGCTGCTGTTTCAGAGACCTCAGGCCTCCTGTTGACCACCTCAGAGGATGGCTCCCTACGGCTCTGGCAGGTGCCCGAAGAGGCAGGTGAGTGAGGTGTGGAGAGAGGCAAGGTGTGAAAGGGGGGTGGTGTGTGTAAATGGGACCAAGAACATCAAGGGTAGCCTGCTCTCTCCTCTTGGACCCCAACAGTGGTCCAGCTCCTAATGAATCACTTCCTTTCTTCTCCAGATGACACATATAGACCTAGGAGTCCTGCAGCCATCACTGCTGTGGCCTGGGCCCCAGACGGTTCTGCAGCAGTGTCTGGGAATCAAGCTGGGGAACTGACCTTGTGGCAGGAAGCTAAGGCTGTGGTCACAGTACAGGCAAGTGGAGTGAACTTCAGTTTTATGTGAATTCTGCCCTGTGTATCTGCTGTGTATCTGGTGGCATGTGCTAGGGTCAGAGGTTGTGTAGAAGCCTGGGGGTGGTGGGTGTAGACTGGTTAATCCTGGTTCCTCAGAAGGGTGTTCATTGGAAGGACGGATGTTGAAGCTGAAACTCCAGTACTTTGGCCATATGATGCGAAGAGCTGACTCATTTGAAAAGACCCTGATGCTGGGAAAGATTGAGGGCGGGAGGAGAAGGGGACAACAGGATGAGATGGTTGGATGGCATCACCGACTCGATGGACATGGGTTTGAATAAACTCCGGGAGTTGGTGATGGACAGGGAGGCCTGGCATGCTGTGATTTAATGGGTCGCAAAGAGTCGGATACGACTGAGCAACTGAACTGAACTGAACTGTATTCACTAGGCCCGGGGCTGCATCAGTGCTCTGCTCTGGTACTCAGCACACACCTTGATTGTTGTCAGTGCTAATGAAAAAGTCAGCGAGTGGCAAGTGGAACTGCAGATGGGTTCAACACCCAGAAATGTCAGGTGAAATGAGGCGGCTGGGTTAATGGATATGGTTAAACCTGGGATTTTGCTTAAATCTCTCCCCTCTCTTTCTGAACTCGATCAACAGAATATTAGTTAGTAAGCAGGGAAAAGGTCCCTGGGAAATTGTTTTCTGTTCCTCATTATGTCAATTAAAATAATAATTAGCAAGTTTTTACTGTATGCTAAGTTCTGGGCCAGGCAGCATGAACCAGATTGAAATGAATTTTTATTTAAGGGAGCTCACAGTAGTAGAGTATGAATATAAGTAAACTGCCGACAGCATGTGGAATGATCACAGCTATAATAAATTATATAAAATTCCTGGGGCTGCAGAGTTTATTACAAGAGTGGCTGTTTGAGATTGGGCTCAAAGTAAGGGCAGGGAATGGTGTTTTAGGAAGAGGAGATAGCATTAATAAAAGGCACAGGGGTGTGAGAGTGCATGGTGTATTCTGAGTATAGCTAAGTCTTTGGGTTCTTGGTGTGAGTGGTGGTGGGGTATTGCGTTGAAATAATACACTGGGGCCAGGCTGTAGAGGGCACAGTGCTAAGAATTTTGAGCAGAATAATTACCTGAATTTTAGAGAGAGAACTCTAGTGGCCATGTGGAGGATGGATAGTAGTAGGGAGACACTAAAGGTAGGGTGACCACATTTACAGGTGATGCTATAGTCCCAGGAAGACATAACATGGGCCCTAATCTGGGCAATGGGGATGAGATGGAGAGAAAAAGACTGAGGCACATGTTGAAAGTTGACTCTGCAGTGCTTATCGATCAGTTGCAGGTCAGGAGGGAAGGAAAGGACAAAAATGTTAGAGATTCCTAGTTTGAGTGATTAAGGTGATAGTATGATAAATACTAATATGAGAGAAACAGAAAGAAGGCAATTTGTAGGGACGGTGATACATTTTGTTTTGTACTATACTCCTGAGGAATTCATGGGGAACTGAGGAGCCCAAGAGACGTGGACTAAAGTAGACTCTTTCTTGTCCATGTGCCCTGTTTGAACTTCAGTCTTCGCCTGAACCGAGTTCTTCAGGAGGACTTAGGTTTCCTGACAAGTGTAGGCCTGGCCCCTGATGGTCACTCCCTCATCTTGGCCAAAGCGGATTTGCAGTTGTTGCACATGAAGCCAGGTGATGAGCCCTCTGTAATCTGGTAAGACCCTAAGTGCTGTTTTCTCTTAGGGTAGAGAAAAAGGAAAAGTGGGTTAGTGGTTACCCTGAGGTTGGGTCTAACTAAAACAAACATTGGGGTCTTATGGAGGGGTGTTCCTAGCTTTAGCCTCTTCCTTTTTTATAAACCAGGGAAAGTTATTCGGAAGATCCTATGATGTTGTCCACCCACCAGGACTATGGGGTGTTTGTCCTGCAGTCAAGGAAACTTCAAGTTCTTCCTTTTTCAGTAAGTTCTGTTTGGGCGTGTGTTAAAAGAACCATTTGTTCAGGACTGCTATTTTAAAGTCTTGAGGCCAGGACTGAGTAAAAGAGGAAGGAAGGGAAAAGCAGTTGGTTTCAAATCTCCTTCTCTTCCTTCAAATGGAACTCTACTGAAGAGTGTTTTATATTGGGTTTCCTTGTAAGAAAAGAAAATTCTAGTATTTAAAAGAATTGTGGGAAACCATAAGCCTAGGTGGGTGCTCAGTAGCTTAGCCGTATCTGACTCTTTTGAGACTCCATGGACTGTAGTCCACCAAGCTCCTCTGTCCGTGGAATTTTTCTGGCAAGAATACTGGAGCTGGTTGCTATTTCTTCCTCCAGAGGATCTTCCTGACCCAGGGATCAAACCTGCATTGGCAGGTGGATTCTTTACCACTGTGCCACTGGCAAGTCCCTATACTACACTTCATCTTAGCCAAAAGGCTGAGAAGTGATCAACCTAGGCATTTTCTTAATTGCATTATCTTCATGTCTCTTGTCTTGTCACTATGGGTAGTAGTCTGGAACAATACAGACATATCTCATAGACATTATACCAGGTGAAAGAAGCCAGACACAAAAGAGTACATATTATATAATTTCACTTAAATGAAGTTCAAGAACAAGCAAAACTCATTTATAGTGACAGAAGTCAGAATATTGTTGACTCTGGGGGTGGTGACAGGCTAAGGAGCATGGAGGCAACTTTCCAGGGTGGTGGAATGTACTATGGCTTGATTTGGGCAGTAATTACATGGATGGATACATGTGTAAAATTTTATCAAGATGTCCATTTAAGATTTGTATACTTTACTGTATCATGGATACAATTTTGAAAAGCCTTGACCAGTCCAGAGCAGAAAAGGGTTACTTTGTCTGGGAAGCAGTAAGTGATACAAGTAGGCTAAACAAAATGCTCTGTCCTTTCACAGGGGCAAAAGGAGTTAGGAGAGTTTGAAGAGTGCCTGGAATTTGATCTGAATTTAGAAAATCCCAGTAATACCCTCATATCAGTAACTCAGGCCAAACCTGGATCTGGTGAGTGGTGTTGGGTGGGCCCAAGGAATCCAGAAGTGGCCTCAGGGAGGATGGTGTATTCTTCAAAGTCTAAGACCTGGCTCACATTCTGCCCTTGAAATGGCAGAGTCCTCGTTTTTGTGTGCTAGCTCTGATGGGATGCTGTGGAACCTAGCCAGATGCACTAATGAAGGAGAATGGATCACAGATAATATCTGGCAGAAAAAAGCAGAGATGCCTGCAACTCAAACTTCAGAGACAGAGTCATGTATATCTACCAACACCTATAGCTGGTCAACAGTCACAGAGCTAAAGACGCAGCAACGTAGAAAGGTGAGTTTGAGGGAAAGGTCACAAGATACTGGGGAGGAGGCTCTAGGTCTGACCCAGCAAACTTCTCTGCTCCCTTGACTGAGGAGGGTCCTTCTAGAACTCACCACACCTCTTCCTCTCTAAGATCCACTCAGGCCCTGTCACAGCTCTCCACGTGCTGCCTGAGTTGCTGGTAACAGCTTCAAAGGACAGAGATGTTAAACTGTGGGAGAGACCCAGTATGCAGCTGGTAAGTGTGTGTGTGTGTGTGTGTGTGTGTAAGGAGGACGAAAGGGATGTCAGAGAGCAAACTTGGGGTAAGGAAAGACAGATCAAAATTGTTTTCTTCTCTCCTTCTTGCAATAATGTGTAACTAACTTGATTCTAAACAAAAGGCATTGGTGTGGGAGACAAATAAGTCAGTAAGAAGGCCCTAGGCTTGTAGCTCTTATCTTCGGTTTTTGTTCCACTGTAGCTGGGCCTGTTCCGATGTGAAGGGGCAGTGAGCTGCCTGGAACCTTGGCTGGGTCCTGACTCTACTCTGCAACTTGCAGTGGGAGACACACAGGGTAATGTCTACTTTCTCTCCTGGGAATGAAGATCACTGCTCAGGGCGAGGAGACTGCTTGTGCCAGAGAGGCAAAGCCTGAAGACCCCAGTGGCTACTCTCTTGATACAATTATATAAATAAAGGGACAGAAAATCTCAGAGTGTAGTCCTGCCTGTGTTCTCATGTGGATTTGGACCAAGAGGGAAGAATATGGATGTTCTTATGTTTCTTTTCTGAATTTACTTTAATCCTTACTAGAACTGGAAGAAAGTGAAGCAGATCTTTGGTAGATATTCTTTGAAATTAGGCTTTAGAATTCTTGTGTCATTTGCTGGCCCCAGGACCCTAAGGGATGACTCCTCCCAGGAGGAGGTATGAAAGTGATGTTGACGAGCACTTAGGCTGAACAGATATCTGGAGACCTCTCACTTGTTCAAAGAAGAGGAAGAGAAAGAAGAATGAGTCAGCTGTCTCCTGTCTAGGGCACTGGGAAAGAACTAGGATTGAACCAGGACACCACTAGTTTCCTCTCACAGAAACAGCCCATCTACTCAGAGCCAACAGCCCAGGTGAAAGGTGAGAAGCCAGTATACCGAGAGCAGAGTGAGTCTCCTGGCTTTCACAGACACTGATGGACCCACGGCAGCCACTTGACTTGCAAGCATTAGTTAGTATAGTAATTTGCCTTCTTGGAAGAGATCACAAAAGGGTTATCTTTCAAATTGCAGGTCACAAAGATTAAAATGAGTTGAAAGGTGAAACTGCATACACACGGACTAGCTGTGAACTGTGACCCTCTTAGGTAAAAGTTCTCCAACCTTGTATTCTTATCATCAATTTTATGGGAGAGAAAGTTACTTGAGGCCCTTTCTTTCTAAGGGTTAAGGAAGGGTTTAGGATCTTCTGTGTCCAAGAATTTGAGGACTTGTATATGATAAGCTAGTGCTATTACAGGATTTTATCCTGGGTTTGTAGGGTTCTTCCAGAGAAATACCACTGCACTCTGATGTAAAGTTTTCAGGATTTAGGGAGTCGAGGGGTACCCAGTTTTGTTCTTACTTTGCTCTGAAATCACCTGAAGAATTTTGTCTTATTTTTACCAATGCCTCATATTCTTCCTCAACCTAAGGATAAGACATGAGGAGTGCCAACAGCTGATGTCTTAATTATAGGTCATGCCTCTATCATTTCTCATGTGCCCCATGCAAGGGCTCTAAATATGCCTTCTAGACCACCTGTTCCACTGTACCTTGTGACTGGAAGTCCAAGTTAAGGTAATTTGAAACCTATGATTCGTAATACTACCCAGAAATGCTACAGAGAACCATGACACAGCATCATCCAGAAAGTCGATGGTTTCAGTCTTTGCCTTCTGTTCCCCTGAAAGCATGGGCCAAGGACAGGAGGAAGCCCTAGATGTCTGTCTTCCAAGTTCTAAAAATTCTATCCAAGTTCCCCAGCTGAATCTGGAGGTATGGGGCTGGAGAAAGTAAAGTCTACTTGCTCAGTTAAGACTCGGTCTTGTTGGCCAGGTCCACATGAAGGGCGTGTTCTTTCTTGAAGATATACAGTGAGGCCAAAGTATAATTGCTGTGAGTGAAGACAAGAACAGACTCTAGCTAACAGTAAATATGTACGCAAGGGAGTTGAAAGGACAATCAGCTTAGGTTTTACACTGAATATTTTTAAAGTATTATTTTAAATAAAGAGGACATTAAAAAATTATTATTATATTTTATTTTTTGGCCTTTGGGACCTTAGTTTCCTGACCAGGGATTGAACATGGGCTCCCTGCAGTGAAAGGCCAGAGTTTTAACCACTGGACCACCAGGGAAGTCCCTACCTTAAATATTTTCTGAGTTCTTAGAGAAGAGAATTTCAGGATTGTGATGAGTTCCACAATTACAGTCACTGGATTGTAGGGTCGTCGCACACTGGAATAGTCTCTTCTCCTGCACATGTGCTAAGTCAATTCAGTCATGTCTGACCCCATGGACTGTAGCCTGCCAGGCTCCTCTGTCCATGGGATTTCCCAGGCAAGATTATTGGAATATATTTAATGTCAGATGAAACCTGGACTCTGTGTTCTTCAGTTAAAAATAATAAATATGAGGAACTGATAGCATTTTATTATAAAAGGAAAAAACCACTTGTCGCTGCTAAATCTTCTACCGGGAAATGACAGATTGCTTCCACTCATATTTTATATATGTGAGCAAAGCAAGTCACATGGTTCTACTGAGTGTCAAAGGGGAGGCAAGTATCATCCTACCATGTACCTGGGCGGAGAACTGGGAACCAGACACAGTCATCCCCCAAAGAACCTGTGTTGATGCTTTTTCCAGTAGAATGACTTTTAGTCCTTAGAAAAAAAGATCATTTAAGATTTACAGAGAATCCTCACATACCCTTCTTCACTCGGCTTCCTCTGTTAACATCTTACATAACTAAGAAATTACTGTTGATATAATATTATTAATTTGGATACGGATTTGGATTTTTCTACTAATGTCGTTACTTTGTTCCGGGGTCCAATCCAGAATACCACATTGCATTTAGTCATCATAGCTCCTTAGTCTAATCCTGCAGTTGTGCCACTTTCTCAGACTTCCCAGTCTTCACATTTTTGGAGAGTTCTGGTCAGGTGTTTTGTAGAATCTCTGAGTTTGGCTTTGCTGTTTTTTTTCTCATGACTAGATTAAAATTATGAATTTAAGGGAAGAATACAAGAGATGATGTGCCCTTCTTGTTATATCAAAAGCAATCATATCAACATGACTTATTACTAGTGATGTTAACCTTGATCATTTTTAAAGCTGAGGTGATATTTGCCAGGTTTTTCTTACTGTACCATTTTCATCTGTTTGTTAGAAGCAAGTCATTAAGTTTAGCTCACACTCAAGGGGAAGGGAACTAAACCACTAAGGGGGAGATATATCAGAGAATCTGATAATTGCCACAAAATCAATACATTTTGAGGTTAAGTTTTTTTTAGACTATGCAAATATCCTGTTTCATTGATTTTTTAATATTCATCCATGAGCAATTATTACTGTGATTTTCTAGTGATGCTTTTCTATTTCCCCCTTCTATATTAATTGAAATTCTTCTGAAAGGAATATTTATCCCTTCTTCCCCACTTATTTATATGTTGGTTGAGTCATTCACATATCAGTATGGACTCCTGAATAACTAGGGGAGCCTGCTGTATTTTATTACTCAAACATCGTAGTATGTATATATCAGTGCAACTTTTTCTGGCCACTATTTATAAAAGAAAAATATATATCAGAAATTCAGCACAGCATTTTTGAGATATAATTCATTTTTACCCCTTTAAAGTGTGCAATTCAATGTTTTCTAGTATATTCCAACACTGCAACTATCACCACTAATTCCAGAACATTTTCATCACCCCCCAAAAGAAACACTGTACCCATTAGCAATCACTCCCCTTTCACTCGTTCTTCCAGCTAGTGGCAATTGCTCATCTACTTTTTATCTTTATGGATTTGCCTATTCAAGACATTTCATATAAATGGAATCATACAGTGGTCTTCTATGTGGCTTCTTTCATTTAGCATGTTTTCAAGGTTCACTCATTTTGTAGCATATATCAATACTTTATTCCATTTTATAATAATACAATAGTAAAAACAACAAATAACACAATAATATTCCATTGTATAGATAAACCATACAGTGTTCATCCACTCATCAATGGATAGACATTCTGGTTATTTCCACTTTTTGGCTATTACTATGTTGCTATCAAGTCATGTGCAAGTTTCTGTATAAACGTTTCTTCTTAATTCTCTTAGTTATATACTCAGGATTAGAATTGGTAGATCACATAGTAACTATATGTTTAACTATTTGAGGAACTGCCAAACTATTCTCCATAGAAGCTGTGCTACTTTACATTCTCACCAGTACACGTGAGGGCTCTTAGTTTGTTCACATCTTCACCACTACTTGTTATTGTTGGTCATTTTAATTGTAGCCCTTCTAGTGTTTGTCAAGTGGTAGCTCATGGTTTTGTTTCCTTAATGTTTAATAATGTTGAGCATCTTTTCATGTGTTTATTATTGGGCATTTGTTGTTTCTTTGGAGAAATTTCTCTTCAAATTCTGATTTTTAACTGAGTTATCTTTTTATTGCTGACTTTTAATTTTTTTATATATTCTGGATACCAGATCCTCATCAGATTATGATTTGACAATATTTTCTCCTATTTTAGGTTGTCGTTTCACTTTCTTGACACTGTCCTTTGATTAACAAAAGCTTCAACTTTTGGGGGAAAAAGTTAAGTCAAAATCAAGGGAACTATGAGAATATAAATCATAGAAGAGACATATATTCCTAGAAATGATACTTGTTATTTATTTGAGAAAACGTTTTAAATTTTGGTGAAGACTATTATTTTCTTTGGTTAATTGTGCTGTTGATGTCCTATCTTCAGAAACTATTGCCTAATCCAAGGTCACAAGATTTCCACCTGTGTTTTCTTAAAGAGAAAATACATTTAACCAGTTCCTTTTTTATGGCTTTTGTATATAACAATTCTGCAGTAACATCATCTATGTAAACATGTATATCTGTAATTTAGGTCAAAGTGTATGTATATTTAAAATTTTTGATAGATATTGGTAATCTGGTCTCTAAAAAGTTATAAGCTACTGTTTTCATTTAAATAACCTTCACTGTTACTAGAAGTATGTTATATGTGTTTATCTGTGTTGCATGTGTTTACAAATAGTCAAGAAGCCTCTGGATTTGACTTTGGTACTTCTAAGATGGGGGTACATCAAAATCATTCTACTTCTTACTCTTGCTCCCTGAGATCTAGGATGCTAAGTGGTGGGAGACCAGGTATGCAGGTGGTAAACGGGAAAAAGGCAAGTGAGAAGATTTGCACAGGAAACAATTCCGTCTTTGCTGCCTCTACCCTTCCTATAATATCACCCAACAAACTCTAGTTTGCAGAAAAACTGTGTTAAATGAGGAAAAGCTTTAATCTCCATTAGTCTCCCTCATTGCACAGAGGAGGCTATTCTATGAAAGAACAGAATCCTGAGTAACCTGCAGCTAGCTGTGGGATATGTAGAGAAGCTGTACTTTTTGTCTACTAACATCAGAAGAAACATGTGCTTGCAGAAGTAAAGCCCCAAGAAGTCAGTGATAGATTTGTACTATCTTTATTACAGAAAATATGAGAAAAATCCAAAGTACAACATTGCCTGTTTTCTTGCTTGAAGGTCACATCTTCTCTGGTTTATCGTATCTTTAATGTCGACAGTCACCACAGCTGCGGGAAATTAAACTGAACCTTGAGAAGGTATCGCATACGGACCTGGTTGGGGTTATAGACAATAAATTCGTTGTAGTTGAGGGTATAACCCTCCGGATTCAGAATTCCTGTGTCGCTTGCTGGTCCTAATGGCACTGTGCTCCCATTCCTGCCAAATGGAAGGCAGTGTGTCAACATTTGCCTCTGGTTCAAAAGCTGGAATAGAGAAAGTGGAGTCTTATCTGGCCCAAAGGAGTTTTCTGGCCCTCCGGCCTCGGAGTACTTACAAGGTGATAGCGCACGCAGGATTGGGAGCCATCTTGCCCAGCCCCTTGGTGCTGTGTTTGCCTTGAAGTAATCCTTCTGCCTCTGGGTTGGCCCCGAGTAGCTCATTACAGTGACCCAGAGCTACCTGCAAAGTGAAACATCTTTAAATGACCACATCCTCTAAAGCCAAACAGAAAACCCCATCAGCATTTTCTTCTCCTATTCCAGCAGAAGAACGGAATGCAATGGCAAATATGTTCGGCTTCCCTCTCAAGTTCTCCCAGGTGAACCTCTTGGTTCTGTGGCCAGTCTTTTCTCTTTGGAAAGATAGGAACTAATAATAAACTAGAGATCATAGATGTGTTCCTGCCTTACCTCTGATAAGAGCAGCAGCCCCGTATCCTTTAGGCGAGTGGCAAAGCAGTAATTGGCACTCTTGGAAGACATGTCAGCAAAGTAGATTCCTTTTCCGAACTGAAATATATAAACAAGGTCAATTGCCTAACCCGTGTGTTACAAGAAAGGCTCATAGCACTACCCTGTGTTCTACTATCTTAAACACAATATAGACCCTTTTCCATTTCCTCTCACAATTCTGTTCCAAGAGGAGGCAGAAGCATTGATGAATCTCTGCTTTCTGGGGGAAAGGTGAGATATCTTTAGGAATTTAAGAAAGGAGGGTCACAGTAAATGCCAGGGTTATGAGTGAGCTGGTTTAGTTCTTAGGGATGTCACCACTTAATCCTAATCTAGAAAAAAAAAAGGGTTCCAATTTCCACTCACCATGTAACCTGTGATGGGAGCCTCAGGTGGGGCGATTCGAAGCCCATGGCTCAGGATTCCCACCCAGTTACTCAGCCTGGAGCCATGCCAGAGTAGCATCCTAAGGAAAAGCCAGTATTATTGTACTCTCTCTTGCTGTCCTGCAAACACAGGCCATAAGCATCAAAAAGCCAACAGTTGTCTAGGCTATCCTTCATTATGAGTTCCCTAACTGCACTTCAGGCAAGGGACTGTCTTCCCAAACCAAAAGTTAAATGGAGACCTGTTATGAAGGTCCTCTCTGAAGGCCTCTTTTTCACCCTCCTTTTCAACTTCAAAGACATCCAGCAAGGTCATGGTATAGTCACTGTGTGTGGAAGCATGGGTAGACTGTAGGTACTGGGAA